TCCCTGTTCTCAGCCTGGGACATTAAGGAGAGGAAGACCAGGAACGTACGATAAAAGCCCAGAGAACACCTCCTTGGGGGTCAGTTTGACCGAACTGCAGCGCTCGGGGGGACAAGTGGTGATGTAGCTACTTCTCATTTTTTCAGTGAAGATCTGGCCTCACTTTCCCCTCCCTTACTGCCTGGCACTGATCTTACCCATTAGGCTCCTCTTGGGTGTGGGGCTGGGGACCACCGGTGCAACTGAGCAGACGTTGTCAGGCTTGGGGACGTCAGTGCTGATGTGACATGGTTCGACAAGCTGGTGGGTTGGCCGAGCCGCGGTCTGGTCCATTATGCTTGTTGCTGTAGTTGGATTGGGGCAGGAATCTCAGTGTGTGTGTGTGGAGGGCCCTCCATGGCCCATCTGGGCTCTACGCAAGGGGGGGTGGGCTCTTGCCTCCTTGGGACAGGAAAGAACAGGATTTGGGGAGGAGGTGATGCCACCTCAGATCCCTGCACCCCATAATAATCTCTAGCTCTTCAGATCATGTTGCAAAGGCGACCTGGTCTCACAAAGTCCCCAGGCTTCACCAGAACATCTCGAGCTCCTGGCTCATGCTGGACCCTCATGGACGAGGAGGCCCAGCACTGTCGGGCGCAATTTGGTGGCCATGATGACTAGGGTGGGGCTCGGGGGTGACCGGTTCATGAGAGGGGGGATCTGAAAAGGGGGGAAATGGCACTGATAACCCTGTTCTGACCACACCCTGGCTCTTACCCTCCCCCAGCACTGAGCAGGACGCACTTTGGATCAAGCCTGACAACAATTAAAGTGTGTAGCATCTTTAGCTTAAAGAGCTTTTCTCCCTGCTGTGTCTCAGGCATTTGAATTAAATGGGCACCCGCAAAAATGAAAAGGATGAAGCTGAAGGGTCAAACTCTGCTCCCAGTTACACCAGTGTAAATCTAGAGTGAAGGCATTAGTGTGACTCAGGATTTACACTGGTGTAAATGGGAGCCGATGTTGGATCAAATAGGTTCTAAAACTTTGTCGGCAAATAATCATGTCCCCTGCCAGGCAGTGAGGTTTCCCCTGCACAGGGTGTGATGCTGTCAGTCCTGCCAGCTCCCCAGTCACCCCCGGGGCATCCATGGATGGCAGGGTAGGTGAGACCCCCATTTCTGATCTGTTTTTGAAAAGAGAAAAAAAACAAACTGCTTTTTGAACTTTCTTCCAGCACCACGAAGGAGCAAAAAGGGCGGGAACCCGAGTGCCACCCCTAAAGAATGAGCAACACACGGAGCAGCAGGTTCCTCATCAGCCAGCAAAGGAGCTGGCATGTCTCACTGCAGGGAGGGGGCAGACCCCCAGCCCATGTTCCTGGGTCCTTCTGGTCCCGCTGAGGTTCTCCAGCCTGGTTGGGCATCTGCTCTGGGCCCCCTCGGATCTCTCAGTCATGCAGGCGTCTTCCTCTCTGGGGCCAAGGGTAGCGGGCTGGGTGGGTGCCCCGTGTGCTCTGCTGTTAGCTCCGACTGGGCTTCCTGCCCCGTAAGAGGGTGTCTTATACATGCGGTGACTCAGGCGCTCCTGTGGTGAGGCCTGCGTGGGCAATGTCAGGGCCCCGCCCCATCACCCTGCCTCCTGCGTCGGGCGGTGGTGACCCTGAGTGAGTCACAGTGTCAAAGAGGGAACAGCTCTGTTCGGTCCCATCTGGTCCATCGTCCCAGAGCAGGACTATTCTCCCCAGGCTAGTTTTAAATATGGCATAACCGGCTGGGTTGTCGGGATCAGGGATTGAACCCTGGACCTCTGGGGTGAGTTGCTACGACCTGAGCTAAAAGAGGCACTGCAGTAGCAGGCTCATAAACATCTCTCTGGGGTCCCACCACTGCAGGGAGACAGGGTATGGCCATATGGGTTAGGCAAATGTCCCTAGCCATGGAGCTCCCAATCGGCCCCCAAGGGAAGTGATTCCCAGGGGCAGCATCACACAGTATTTCCTGGTGTGAGTATAGTGGGTGAACAGTGAGGTGGCAAAATTTGAAGAGAATACAAAACTATTCAAGCTAGTTAAGGCCAAAGCTGACGGCAAAGAGATACAAAAGGATCCCAGGAAACTGGGTGACTGGGCAACAAGATGGCAGATGACATTCAGTGGTGACAAGTGCAAAGTAATGCACATTGGCAAACATAATCCCAACTACACACACAAACGGATGGGGCCTAAACTAGCTGTTACTACGCAAGAAGCGGATCTTGGCGTCATCGTGGCGAGTTCTCTGAAAACATCCACTCAATGTGCAGCGGCCGTCACGAAAGCCAAGAGAACGGTCGGAACCACTAGGAAAGGGCTAGATGATGAAACAGAAAATATCATTGTGCCTCTATTTAGAGCCATGGTATGACCACACCTTGAATACTGCATGCAATTCTGAGTGCCCCATCTCTAAAAGGATATATTAGAATTGGAAAAGATGCAGAGAAGGGCAACGAAAATTATTAGGGAACTGGAACAACTTCTGTATGAGGACAGATTGGAAAGACTTGCACTGTTCAGCTTGGAAAAGAGGCACTTAGGGGGGTTATGATAGAGCGCTGTGACATCATGAGGAAGTGACTAGGGAAGTGTTATTTACCCCACTGCAAGAACCAGGCGTTGTCCAAGGAAATTATGAGGCAGCGGGTTTAAAACTCACAAAGGGAATTGTGAAGGCCAAAAGCATAACAGGTGTGACAAAGTTCCGCCTCTACCTTGGTGGGTCTTGCGCTTATGGGCGGATTTGCTCGCCTTGGAGCTCCATGGCAGCCCTCAGCTTGGCCGTTTTTCTGAACCCACAGTCCAGGTCGACGACTCCTGTGTCTGACCAGGAGTTGGGAGGATTTGGGGGGAACCCGGGCCCGCCCTCTACTCCGGGTCCCAGCCCAGGGCCCTGTGGGATGCAGCTGTCTAGAGAGCCTCCTGGAACAGCTGTGCGACAGCGACAACTCCCTGGGCTACTTCCCCATGGCCTCCTCCCAACACCTTCTTTATCCTCACCATAGGACCTTCCTCCTGGTGTCTAATAATGCTTGTACATCTCAGTCCTCCAACAGTCCGTGTTTCTCACTCTCAGCTCCTAGTGCCTCTTGCTCCCAGCTCCTCACACGCACATCACAAATTGAAGTGAGCTCCTTTTTAAACCCAGGTGCCCTGATTAGCCTGCCTTAATTGATTCTAGCAGCTTCTTGATTGGCTGCAGGTGTTCTAATCAGCCTGTCTGTCTTCATTGTTTCCAGAAGGTTCCTGATTGTTCTGGAACCTTCCCTGTTACCTTACCCAGAGCAAAGGGACCTACTTAACCTGGGGCTAATATATCTGCCTTCTATTACTCTCCTGTAGCCATCTGGCCCGACCCTGTCACACAGGGTTCAAAAAAGAATGAGATAAGTTCCTGGAAGATTGGTCCAGCAGTGGCTATTAGCCAAGATGCTCAGGGACACAACCCCATGCTCTGGGTGTCCCTAAACCTCCACCTGCCAGAAGCATCGGACACTTACCACTGTCAGAGACAGGACACTGGGCTAGGTGGACCATTGGTCTGACCCAGTGTGGCTGTTGGCCTGTTCCTCCTCATCCTCCACCTATACGAGGCCCATGGCTGGATGAAGGCGTAGGTGCTACAAGCCCATGGCTAGGGCCTCAGTTCCTGGAATCATGCCGGGATAGAGGGATTGAGACTGTTATCCCGTCTCACCCCTAGGCAGGGCCCAGCATGAGAGCTAGGCACCATTTTTATTCCACTTCAGCCCAGTGTGATCCCCAGTGGCTCCCAGCAGATCATGGGGCTGCCACCAGCCTCTGGCTGCAGATGAGAAGAGACCTCCTGCGGTCCCAGCACAGCCTGTCTGTGCGTGTGTGTACGTACATCTCAGCCCTCTGGTCAGTGCACACCCAGAATTACACAGAGAAACAAGTCAGTTTACACCAGCACATGTTCTGAGTCCAAGGTAGCTGTATTCCACACAGGGTCGCCCTCTGCAGCCCGTGTAGCACTGAGGGCCCTCTCCACGCACATGGCCACAACCACACAAGCATCTCAAGGTGGGTCTAAAGCCTCCATTCGCCAGCTCGCCCGGCCCACGGCTGGAGGAGGCATTCTCAAACCCATTTCACAGGAGGGTAAGCAGAGCACAGCGGGAAGCAGCCACCTGGAGCTGAGACCTTACTCTCAGCCCCCCCATTTTAACCACTGCCCCCAGCTGCCTCCTCCCCCATATGGCACCAAACTGGGGACCGCTGGGTTCACACAGCGATGGGGGTTCAGAGCGGGCGGGAGACACGGGGGCCGGAGGCAGGTGGCAGGGATCGCAGGGGAGAAGGGGCTCGCACTGCAAACAGCAAGTCTGTAAACATGAAGCAGTGGTGAACGGGGGGCAGGGTGGCACCGGCAGAGCGTGGAGCATCTCCGGTGGGTGGCCGCCGCGGGAGAAATTTGCCCCTGTATGGAGAGGGAGCACACGAGCCCTCTGGGCTGTAGGGTTGCCACGTGTCTGGTTTTTGAGTGGAACGCCCGGTTGAAAAGGGACCCTGGCTGCTCCAGTCAACACCACTGACCGGGCCGCTAAAAGTCCAGTCTGTGGCACAGTGGGGCAAAGGCAGGCTCCCTGCCTGCCCTGGCTCCAGGTGGCTCCTGGAAGCGGCCAGCATATCCAGCTCCTAGGTGTAGGGGCACGGCCCCCGCCCCAAGCACCAGCTCCACAGGTCCCATTTGCCAGGACCTGCGAGGATGGTGCCCGCGTGTGAAGGCAGCATGCCGAGCCCCCTGCCCCTTGGCCTAGGGGCCAGACATGCTGGCCACTTCTGGGAGCCTCCTGAAGCAAGCGCTGCTTGGCAGAAGCCCTCACCCCAAACCCCCTCCTGCACCCAAATCCTTCCTCCCAGAGCCCGCACCACTTCCTTCACCCCAGCCCCCTGTCCTAGCCCTGATCCCCCTCCTGCACCCCAAATCACTCATCCCTGGCCCCACCCCAGAGCCCATACCTCCAACCGAAGCCCGCACCCACTCCCGAACCCCAACCCCCTCGGCCACAGCCTGGAGCTCCCACCCCCACCTGGAGCCTGCACCAGTGAGTGAGGGTGGGGGAGAGCGAGTAATGGAGGGAGGGGGGGATGGTGTGAGTGGGGCCTCAGGGCTGGGGCAGGGCAAGGGAGTTCAGTTTTGTGCCATTAGAGTAAGCTGGCAACCCGAACGGACTGGTGTGGGGCTGGAACGGTTCTCAGGCCTCATGGGCCGGGGTACATTTCAGCCAGTGCTCAGAGCAAGGGCGGGACTCCGGCCATCTAGACAGAAGCAGCTTTTTCGCAGATCCACCTGTAGTGCAAGTTGCAGGGCTCATCGTTCCACCGGCCGTCCTCGTGCAGGTGGGCGCAGTCCTCATCTCTGATGTGAAAACTGTACCTGTTATTGGGCTCCCCTGTGGCCCAAAACCTGAAAGGGAAGGAAGAGAAGAGCCCTCCAGCCGTTGGGCCACCGGTTCTGGCTGAGATGCTCCCATCTATGTGCTATCTGGTAACCGGGTTCCCCCTCAACGTAACCTAGAGCAGCCTCAGGGTTGGTCTAACTTATGCTCAGGCCCCTGTGGCGTTGTGGGCAGCCAAAAATAGCCAAAGCCCAGCTGTGCTCCAGCCCCACCCCTACGTAGGAGGCTTTTCTGCTCTTCTCCAGGCCCTTGAGCCCTGGGCAAGTGTGTGTGTGGGAGATTACATTCCCTTTATGGCCCCTTGATGGCACCAGAGCTGCATAAAGGGGGGTCTCAGGAAAAAGGAGGGAACAACATGGCCTCTAAGGAAGGCAGGATGACCTCTCCCTGAATGGGGATTTGTGGCATTTTCACCCCAGAACTCAAGGGTTCATTAAATTCCCCCCACAAACAGACAGATTTTTTTATTTTGAATTATCCAAATCAACACAGGTCTGGGGAAAGTGTCACCTGCTAGCAGAGCAGGCCTCGTTACTGGGCCACTAGAGGATAACAACCTACTACCAGTTAATGGAGCTGCTCCTTGGGCTCAATAATGCCTAGCTTGGAGATAGTACCTTTCAACAGGGGAGAGAAAAGCACTTGACAAAGCATCATTTGGCCATTTTGCAGCAGGGGAAACCGAGGCACAGAGTGGGGCAGTGACTTGCCCAAGGCCACCCAGCAGGCCAGCAGCACAATCGGGAATGGAAGCCAGCACTACTGAGTCCCAGAGCAGGGCTCTAACCACTGGGCCAGGACGTTACTGTTAAAGGCCCTCAGTTCACACCCATGCAGTGGAGGATGTCACCTTATCAGTGGTTGAAGCTGCCACCTGCCCAGGCTATGGCAGCACAAACTTCTCCTTGCCATGGTGGCTCAGACCTGCCCTGCCTTGGAGAGACCCTTCTGTAGGCTGAGAGGGGCGCTCCGTCCCCTTGGCCCATTCAGTCCTTGGTCCCTCAGCTGTGATGGCTGACAAGCCCCCAGTGCGATCTGTGGATGCCTTTCCCACTGGGAACTGGGCTGAGACCCAGCAAGCTCGTTTCATACAGAGGGCACCCAGCAGCAACGCTATGTAGTCACTACAGACCTGGGCCCGATTCGAACCAGTGACCTGTGGGGGACTGATAAAGGCTCGAGTCGGTCAGTCGTCAGGGCGTGAAATCAAACCTGAGTGGTGCTGCCCCAGGCTTCAGCCTTGGAGCTACTGAGGTGGAAAGCGCCTGCAGGAGCAGGGACAGCTGGGGAAGGCCAGGGGCAGGAAGGGGAGAGCAGAGGATCGCCCCATGCTTACGTAAATGCCGTAGGAGTATTGTCCACCCAGTGCCAGACACCTTCAGTCCCTTGGTCTGTGAAGCCGATCCAGTGACGAACAGAATCAGCTTTAATGGCCAAGTAATTCTAGAGAGGGGACAACACAGAGGATTGGGTGGTTAAAACTGGAGCATAAGCTAGGCCTCATGGCGGCCCTCTGCATGGGTGCATTTTACCCGAGGAGGGGGCCGGAGGGTCCTACCTGCTCCGTTTGATCGTTGATCACCACCAGATCGGCAGTCTGGCTCAAACAGGTCCTTCTGGCCACCGGCCAACCCTGGGCAGCCGAGGAGAAAAGGTAGCACCTCCCTCGGTACTGCTCCCAGCCAGGCTGGCACTGGGAAGTGCCTGCCGGAGAGAACACAGCAGAGCCAGCACGTGACTCGGGAGGTATGGGCGAGAGGGGCTCCCCACCCTGGATAAACCCAGCAAATGCCTTCAGCAGCTGCCAGGTACCGTGGGAGCTTCCTTCAAGCAGGCCCTGCCCCAGGAAAGCATTTCAGCAAGGGCATAGCTGTAAGGTCACTGGGAGAATATTTGCCAAAAGAAAAGGAGGACTTGTGGCACCTTAGAAACTAACCAATTTATTTGAGCAGTGAGCTGTAGCTCACGAAAGCTCATGGTCAAATAAATTGGTTAGTCTCTAAGGTGCCACAAGTCCTCCTTTTCTTTTTGCAACTACAGACTAACACGGCTGTTACTCTGAAACCTGGGAGAATATTATTCACCCATTTTATGCTTCCTCTAAATGTGGAGGAAATTCTGAGTCACTTCCCGATGGAACAGATCACTATTTACTCTCTCAGCTTGCCAGCAGGTTTTTAGACACTTAGCTAACGAGAAGAGAGAGATGGATGGGTAGATACAATAGAGACTTTGCTTAATACGCTGCTGAAAACATTAAACTGACTCTTTCAGCACAATCCTTCATATAACGCCGAGGGAAGAGCGCCCCCTAGGACCGTGGTGGGGGATTGCGCTCAGCACTGACTGCGAGGGAAGACTGCCCCCTACAGATCCCTCATTCCCTACGGCTTCAACGAATAGGAAGGCCCCCCAATGTTCGCGAGGGGCTGAGAGTTATTCAGTATTATTATCTGTACTGCCGTAGCCCCCCCAATCAGGCCCCGTTGTGCTAGGCGCTGTACAGACGCAGAACAGAAAACGGTCCCCCTGCCGCGAAAAGCGAGCCAAGGCTGGCGTGTATCTCACCGTTCCCTTTCTGTGCGGCATCCAGGATCTTGTAGGTCTCGGCCCTGATGTCATCTCTGTCATGTTTCGCTTTGGCCAGATCCCTGGACACTGGAAACAGAACACGCCGTCATGTATGGGAATGGGTCCCATCCCTTTAAATAGTTTGGGAGCCTCGAGTGGCACTCACCATGTTCTGTGTGTCCAAAGCGGCCAGAAGTTAGCCAGAGCTGTGGGTGTGTGCAGCTCGGCCTGGTGTGTCTGTATACAGACCGTAGGCACCGGGATTTGGGGCTTGGCTGAGACACTGAAATGGGGCCCCTTTCTCAGCAGAGGGAGGCACCAAGCTTGTTACAGTCGGTCCGATATAGTCATTAGGGACTGGAGACCTGGCCGAACACTCCAGCAGAAGCCCACCTTTCACCAGGGTCAAATTTATTCAGCTCAACCCTGGTCTCTCTCTTTCCCCAAACCCCAGCAGGAGCCCTGCCTCTCCCCCCTCTACCCTGCCCCCCAGTTCCCTACCCTTGGCTCCCCAACACCCCAAGCTTATTACACCTGGCCCTCCACTTTCTGCCACGCGCTTGAATCTACCTGCCTCCCCTCAGCCCCATCTCCTCCCAGCTTTTCCCCAAATGATTCTGGGGCGCAAGAAACAGCCTCTCTGGAGCAGCCCAGCCCAAAGAGTTTCCTGAAGCCCAGACTGGGAACACACTGGCGTGAGAATCCCTGGCACTAAAGGGTTAATCGACTTTCCCCCATTCAGAATGGGGCCCCTGGTGCACACAGAGCCCGGAATGCAGGCTCTGGGGGTATTGGCTGCGTCCCCACGGGGGTCCGCAAGGCTGGGGCTTGGCCCTGAGTTTCCTGCCTCGGTGCCTCCATCTCAGGGAACGAATCACAAAAGCCGCTCGTTCAGGCTGGATCCGGTGTGGGGGGGATCCCAGATTGCCACGGCCACCCAGGGCTGGGATTCTCCAGCCCCATCTCAGCTTCCTGCTGCTGTTCCCCCACCCCGGCCTTCCTCCGCCTGAGCCCTGCTCCACACCCCCGCCTGTCCTCACCTTCCTCTCTCAGCGTGGCCTGGTCTGACTGCAGCCTCTTCAGCTCCTTGGCCAGCTCCTCCCCTGAGAGACAAACAGAGCCCATCACACTCCTGGGGAGTCTCGGGGACCGGGGCTGAGCGGGAGTGGGGAGCGGTGGAGATTGGTCAGGAATGGGGAATGGGGTCGGGAGGGGATTGTGAGGAGGAGGAGGAGGAGGAGGAGGAGGGAGGAAGGCCAAAGGGGTGAGATGAGAGGTGCAGGGGAGTCAGAGAGGGGACGTCGGGCTGCGGATCGTGAGGACTCTGGTACGTACCAGTGCGGTGCATGGCGGATTGATTGAAATGAAGCATCCCCAGTTGCTTCGCCATGTCGGAGCCTGGAAGAGACAGAGCCCGGTGAGCTGGGAACCGTCTTTCTCCCCCGCACTGGTCACGTGGGGCAGGGCCATGTTCCTGAGCAGAGCGGGTCTACGAGGGCCGCCCAGGGCTGCTTTCCTTCCCCAGAGGAGGCTGCATGCGGGTGGATTTGCTTTAACCCCCGAGGCCCTGATAGTCATTAAGGCTCCAGATGGGAGTGAATTGCCCCAGGCCAGGCAGTGAGGCAAGGTTAGAACTCAGGGCCCCCTGACTCCCTGCCCTGTGCTCATTCCCCCAGACCCCCGGACGTCGGCCAGCCCTGCCTAGGGGAGAGCCAGTTAGTGGGATTAGTTAGGGTCCCCCCTAGACTAGTGAGTAATGGGGCACCCCATCAAGAACACCCTTTGCAAGCGGAACGCCCTGAAAAGTCGAGAGATGAAGCTGAGGCTCTGCAGAGCTGCGGTGTTCAGTATCTGGGCCTCTGGGACTGAATTGTGGCCCAGCACCGTCGAGATTGGCAAGAAATTGGGCGCCATTCAGACGAAGCGTCTTCAAACGATCGAAAGCATCAAATGCCTGGGATGCAGGTCGAATGAAGGGATCTGCTTTCTAACGAATCAGGTCCTGCTCGACTAGATGGTCGCCCAATCCTCTCTCAGGCGGCATGGTCATCTGCTCCGAAGTCCTGCCAACTTCCCTGAGAGACTCTCTTCGACTTTGACCCGAGGAAAGCTGGATGGGAGACCTAAAACGCGACAGCTGGACGGTGTCAGAGACCCGTCCCTCACCGGCATCCTAACTCATAATGCGCAGCTTTGGCTCAGGGCAGAACAGCATGGAGGCCCAGAGTGCCTTCTGTCACCTCTATGCTGTCCAAACAGCAGCAAGAGAACTGACCAGCCCTCTAGCCTAGGGAAATTCTACTAGTGTCTCCATGTCCTGGTGCAAATCTCTAGTGTCGACACACAGCACGGGGCTTGCACAGTGCCATTCCCTTTTGTAATTCACCAGCGTGAGACCCACCGGAGTGAGTCCTGCTTTGCACCAAGGAAGCACGTCTACATGAACGGGTTTGCATCACCTTTTAACCATCGGGGCAAAGTCTCAGTGACGGGGTGGATTTTCCGTCACTCGGAGCTTTTAACAGATTGGGCCTCTCTCCCGTAACGCACTGGTCTACTCCACCACCCAATATGGAATTGCTGGGTGGCCTCCTCTGGCCTGGGCTCTGCAGGAGGTCAGAACAGATGCTCCGAACAGTCTCTTCTGGCCGTAACATTCATGGGTTTGTGAGCTACCAGGGTGTACATTTCCCTGCTGCAGACAGGCTCTTAGCTAAATAAAGCCTGATCCAAACACCATTCAAGATCATAGGAGTCTTTCCCTCAGGCTTAACAGGCTGAGATCATTAATCAGTGACTTGGGGTGCAACCAAAACAATAAGAGGCTTGATATGTCCTGTTCCCTTGTGCTCCCGCATCTGTTTGCCTGCCTCCACCTCTTGTCCCTTGTCTAATACTTAGGTCGGAAGCGACCTGGGGCAGGGACTGTCATTTTGTTCGCTATTTGTGCAGCGCCCAGCGCAACTGGGGTCTGGGCTGCGAGTGGGACGTCTAGCTGCTACCGTAATACACCTAATAGTGTTATGCTGGAGGGTGCTGTTGACTGCCCTCACTTGGGTCTGGGATCCACAGACAATGACAGACCTCATTAAAGCCAATGGGTGCCAAGTGTGGGGGGAGCAATCAAGCCCCTGTAGGCCGTGAGATGGCTGCAGACAATGGAGGAGACTGCCCAAAGCACCAGGCTGCATGGCAGGTTAGAGCTGAGGTGGGCCGGCCTGAGGGTGTCATAGGTTGCAGCCCAGGTGCTAGGAAACCGGCTGCCAGCTACATGGGTGGAAGGATGAAGGGGCTGTGAGTGGGACCCTGGGAGGAAGCAGAGAAAGAGCTCCCCAGGCACAGAGCTCGCTGGAGGGGCAGCTGTGGAGATTTCTGAGCAAGGAACCTGGCTGCTGCTGTTAGTTCCTGCCCTGCTCAGTAGAACAGGACCCCAGGAAACTATACAAGTCACAGTGAGAACAGACCTGCCTGGGAGCAGCGTTTGCCCCCCTCACGGGAACAAACGTGGCAAGGCCTCAGATTTTGCCTTGGGCCAAAGGGGTAGCAAGAGTAATACCAACAAATGGATGCCTGGGAGAAAGATGAATTGTTACCACTGGCTCTGAGCATAGATTGATCAGTCCGCATCTGCTCCAGCTCCTTGGACATCTCTGCGCCTAGAAAGAGGGACAGACATCAGCTGTTGTTTATATGGTTTTGGGGGACTCAGAGGAGGGATGGGTTTTCAGTTTGGAGTCACGGCCCAGGGAAGAATGCTGCATTTCTATTTCCCAGCTTCCCACTGCTCACTTGTGTCTGGGGGAGACAATCTCCCAGTCCTCTCTGAGCCACCCCTGCCCTGGTGCAGTCTGGCCAACCCCAAATGTTAAAAAAATCATGAGATTGGCTTAAAGATCATGAGCTTTGTAAAAAATAATAAATTTTGGATCCCTTTTCTTTGCCTTCTGGTTCCTGAATTGTCACGTCACTTTCTCATTATGCATTATGGGGGATTATACCCCAACCCCTGCAGCATCCCACGCTGGCCATTGACAGAGACATGGGCTGGGGATGGGAGGGACATGTGGGGTGATATCTTGGCCTTGTTGAAGCCAATGAGAGTTTGACCATTGACTTAAAGGAGCCAGGATCGCACCCCTGGGCTTTTCCACTGGGACTGTTCCTCTGTCATGGTCCTAAATGCTCTCCAGGATACTTACACTTCGCAATTGCCACGGCGAGGAGCACGGCCCACAGCACGAATGACACGGCATGCAGGGCGTAAAGGGTGAATATGGACTTTGCCGCCCCCTTCGGGCCCCTAGGAAACTGCAGCCAGCCATTCCCTGGAAGGGAGCAGCAGAGATGGGGCGGTTAGAGCACCAATCCCTGCCCCATGGGGAAGGCACGAGCGAAATCAGCAGTCACGGTTATTCGCCTTCACTAACTCAGAGTGATGGACGTGCCTCTGGGGTCAGGCACCTCTGGGCACCGCAGGGCAAGTCACACCCTAGAGGTTGGGAGGGACATCAAATAGGAATTGGAACATGATTTTGTGTATTTCCATCCAGCCATCCCCGTTCTATCTAATCTCTCTATCCCCAGGACATCCAGAGTCCATCCACCGTCTCAGGCTTCCATCACTCCTGTTACCCTAGCAGTGAGAGAACCCCATTTCCTGGGAGTCCCCTGTGTTTTCCCAAGGATCCTTCGGGGAACCAGGCTGGGCGGTGCATGTGAGATGCTGTGAGGATTCCCAGGTGTTTCACTCTCCGCCCTGCCCCTGTCTCCTCTGTCCCCTTTGACTAGCTTCCACCATCAGCATCCGGCTCTATGGCTCAGCTCTCTGTGTACATCTCCCCCCACAGCCCCAGCCCCTGCTCGACTTGTGATCCCCTCTTGATGGCTGCCTGTACCCTGCCTTGGCCTCCTCTCCCAGTGCCTGGAGCTTCCCCAGCACTGTCCCCCAAGAATCCTCCCCATCGTGCCAAAGACTCATGCGCCATGAAGACCCCCAGCCAGCGAGGCTGCCCCCAGCTCTGTGCCACTGTCCCCTCTGCTGTAGCCTCCTACAGGCAGGACCAGCCGTTGGCTCGGAAGGGTGTTCCCTGAACAGTGCCCTGTGCACCCCAGCCGCTCCCCAGCCTCAGCCCACTGTGCTCCTGTCAGCGGGGGGCTGGGGAGGGGAAGGAAGCAGCTGTGTCCCCAACCCCCACATCAGCCCCATCCCACCCATCACCCCCCTTTGCTTCCCAGGCATGAAAATAAAAAAGAGGAAGAAAAGAACAAACTCTGCTGTAAATGCAGAATTGTTTCTACCCAGAAAGCACGTGACGCCTTCCCATTGCACAACCCGGGACATGCTGCCTGGTCAGCAGGACTCCGGGGCTGAAATGCAGCGGGCAGGACATGTACCTCTGGGCCAAGGAAAGGCACTGGGGACAAGGCTGCTGATGGCACGACCTGGGATGTGTATGAGAGCCCTGCATGGGACAATTATTTTAATCCCGCTCTAGTCCTGCTCTGCAATACGCAGGCCCACCCGCTCCCGCATTGTTACTTGTGTTTTTATCCTGCTCCCACCCGTAAAAACCTTAGATCCCGCAAATCCCGCAGGAGACACAGATCCCCCCATGCTACTAAAAATACAAACAAAACAATAACCGTCAGGTAATCTAATCTGTCTAGATAGATAGAGCTCAATGAAGTTCAGTTACAATTTTTAGCACTGAAAGAATAAAACTAGATGGTGATCAGACTGAACTCTTGGACACTCTGTTTACCTTCCCCAGACCTGAAGATGAGCTCTGTGAAGCCTTGTCCCGTCCACCAAGAGAAATTGGTCCAAGAAAAGATATTACCCCACCCGCCTTGTCTCTCACACATCCTGGGACCAATACAGTTACCGACTATCTATCTATCTGTCTACCTACTTTTAGATCCCTTGTTTCTGTACTACCCAAGCACCAAACACAAATATCTGACAAAATGCTGCTGAACCAAGTTGGGAAGTCCAGCCTGGTTCTGTCCAGTGCCCTCCGGCTGCAATGTCTGACAAGCCACATCCCAGAGTAGAAACCTGCTCAGTTCCCACCCCATCCCCTTCCGGAGAACAGGGGCCCCTTCACGGGTGAGCACTGCACAGCTCTGTATGTCAGGCCCGATTCCGCAGAGCTCCCTCAAACTGCCCAGCCCTTGGTTTCAGTGGTGTGTGAGAGCTGCGGGATCGGGGCCTGTTATTCAGGAGTCAGCTGATTGGGAGGAAGCGACGGTGGGATCTCTCACTATTGCAGCCCGGGTGTTACCTGCTCTTCCAGCTGCCATTTCTGCCTCTTGTTCCTTGAGCTCCACTCGGTCAGACTCTTCACACTTCTGGTAAATGCGGTCGAAAGCCATCGCTCCAAGCTTCTCCCTTTCCCGACTCTGCGCCGGTGAGTTTTATAGCCGCAGAGCCTCTGAGCAGCTTTCCCTGAAAAGGAAACACATGCACCCAGTCACCCTTCCCCTCTTCAGAACTGCAGAGATCCGTGTCCCTGTCACGTCTCCCCCAGCGGCTGGGAACCTTCGTACAATCAGCGTTCCTGGAAACATGTGAGGGGGTACAACCCACCTCCCCCCCGCCCAAACCGTGACTCAGTGCCTATTTTGCTTCAGTCTTCAGGTTAATGGAGACCAGATACTCAGCACAATTAATATTAACAACTGCGGGAAGGAACACAAGCCAAACTCGCAAATGATTAGGTTAAGGGATAGTTTAATAAGTTAGATGTATTCAAGACGGCAGGGCCCAATGCAATTCATCCTACTTAAGGAACTAGCTGCTGAAGCAATCTTCAGCCACTAACAAAGGAATGGTCTCTGTTCCTTCCTGACTGCATACTTCTGGTTCCAAATGAGGTGTGTGGTTAGCCACTCTGAGGTTCTACTGCAGTGAAAACAAGAGTAAGTTTGCAAACAGAAAAGGAGGACTTGTGGCCCCTTAGAGACTAACAAATTTATTTGAGCATAAGCTTTCATGAGCTACAGCTCACTTCATCGGATGCATTCAGTGGAAAATACAGTGGGGAGATTTATATACACAGAGAACATGAAACAATGGGTGTCACCATACACACTGTAATGAGAGTGATCAGGTAAGGTGAGTTATTACCAGCAGGAGAGCCGGGGGGGGGGGGGGGGCGACCTTTTGTAGTGATAATCAAGGTGGGCCATTTCCAGCAGTTTACAAGAATGTGTGAGGAACGGTGGGGGCGGGGGGAGGGGGAATAAACAAGGGGAAATAGTTTTACTTTGTGTAATGACTCATCCACTCCCAGTCTCTATTCAAGCCTCAGTTAATTGTATCCAGTTTTCAGAGTAACAGCCGTGTTAGTCTGTATTCGCAAAAAGAAAAGGAGGACTTGTGGCACCTTAGAGACTAACCAATTTATTTGAGCATGAGCTGTAGCTCACGAAAGCTTATGCTCAAATAAAGTGGTTAGTCTCTAAGGTGCCACAAGTCCTCCTTTTCTTTTTGTATCCCAGTTTGCAATTTAATTCCAATTCAGCAGTCTCTTGTTGGAGTCTGTTTTTGAAGTTTTTTTGTTGAAGAATTGCCACTTTTAGGTCTGTAATCGAGTGACCAAAGAGATTGAAGTGTTCTCCAACTGGTTTTTGTATGTTACAATTCTTGATGTCTGATTTGTGTCCATTTATTCTTTTACGTAGAGACTGTCCAGTTTGGCCAATGTACATGGCACGGGGGCATTGCTGGCACATGATGGCATATATCACATTGGTAGATGTGCAGGTGAACGAGCCTCTGATAGTGTGGCTGATGTGCTTAGGCCCTATGATGGTGTCCCCTGAATAGATCTGTGGACACAGTTGGCAACGGGCTTTGTTGCAAGGATAGGTTCCTGGGTTAGTGGTTGTGTTGTGTGGTGTGCGGTTGCTGGTGAGTGTTTGCTTCAGGTTGGGGGGCTGTCTGTAAGTAAGGAGTGGCCTGTCTCCATAATCGAGAGTGAGAATATTGGAGACAAATGGTTACTGTCACGCTGTCTGGAGAGGCTCACAACCCTGAGTGCCAACCTCAAGGCAGAGACCCCAAACTGGTGGTATGTTCTGTGATTAGCTTTCATTAACCCCGTAACAAGAGTGAATTCCTGAAGTACTGTAACAGTCTTCTCGTGGAGTCATAGTCCTTGTGGGCATTCCAGGCTGTCTTGCCAGGCAAGCTGGACTTTAGATTACACACCAAAGACAATGCTTGTAGCCAATCCTGTAATAATCTAACTAAAGGTTTATTAACCAGGCAAATGAAATAAGAGAGTTAAAGCAGGCAACATGCATACACAAATGAGTTACACTCTGTGGTTCCAAAAGGTGAGAGAGTTGTAGAAATCTGTCAGCACTGCCTGTCTGTTAGGGCTAACCCAGGTTGACCCAGGGGATCTTAGCTCCTGTTTCCTAGTTCCAGCCCTGTGAGAGTCCAAACAGCAGAGTGAGAGAGAGAGAGAGAGAGAGAGAGAGATGAAAAAGTTTCTTGTCATCTAGTTTTATTTCCTTCTTCCACAATTCAAGATGATGGGTCGAGCCCTTTCGCAAGGACCCTCTCCATGGGTGCGATGGGGTCATTAACAAAGCCTTTGTGTTGTGATGTCCCACAATGGCCCATTTGGATTCAATAGTCCATCCTGATGGGCAGGAGATAACACCTTTTGTAAGGATTCAGCATTGTACATTAAGTGATTTTCCCCCCTGGCTGGTGAGTTATTCAGAAGAAACATTTTACAATTACAGAGCAAACATGTAATATTACCTTGTAGCATGGCATAGGGACATAAATAGGATTAATCCATGCAGCAATTTACAAGCATTTCATAAATTATAAACACTAAACACATTGTCGTAAGTCCAGTACCCATCTTAACCATGCTAACACATAGGTAAGTGGGACTGGTTGTCAGCAATGAATTTGTCAATGCTTGGCTGAGGCCTAAAGCTTTGGCAGAACTGACGTCTGGTTTGCCAGTGTCACAGTTACATGCAGAGAATAAAATCATAACCCACTTTCTAGAATCTAAGCTTAACTACCAAGCCATTCCCCTGTCTCCTACGAGATAGCTTGGCCCAAGGCATGTCCAACCAGTCAGGCAGAGATCTTTTCTCAGAAGATCAAGCCTGCCGGTGGCTTGCCCACACAGATTGAAGGAATCACTGGGGGTTCATCTGCACCCAGATAGAGTTCCAAACATTCATTCTCTGACTCCTACACAGGATAACCCCTTTGGCTTTGGTGATTGCTGCAACCCAGAAGCTGGGAATGGACGACAGGGCCTGGGTCACTTGATGATGACCTGTTCTGTTCATTCCCTCTGGGGCACCTGGAAATGGCCACTCTCGGAAGACAGGACACTGGGCTAGATGGACCTTTGGTCTGACCCAGTGTGGCCATGCTTATGTTCTTACGTTCTCTGCAGGCTAACAATTAGTGCTGCGCTCAGACTGTAAATGGGCATCCCTTGTGAACCATCCACTCCTTCATTCACACATGACAAACCCAAGTGAGAAAAGCAACAGACAATGGAAGCAGCAGTGAAAAAACTTACAAGCTTTGCCCTTAAAAGGCAGGGACAATCAAAGTGACTCAGGCACCTTAGAGGTGTTTCCGCATCAGTTTGTAACTTTAAAATGGCAGCATCTCAAGCCCCGGAGGGCAGGGCTGGATTTACACCTTATGCGCCCCTAGGCACTGCATCTTCAGCGCCCCCCTGCCTGCAGCTGGCCTTCGTGTTGCACACAGTTTTAGAGAGGTAAGGTGCCCCTAGAATGCCGACACGCCTAGACATGTGCCTACTATGCCTATAGACCCCTATGGTATGTCTACACAATGTACTAAGCTGGCGCTCTGACTCAGGTTTAAGACCAAGCCCCACTTCTGTCCACACACAGAAGTTAGTTTGACTCAGGCTTGCAGAGCCTGCTAGGGGGTGGGGTCAGAGCCGAAGTCCCTCTGTGATGCAAGTCAGAGCCCAAATGTTTCTTAACCCTGGTCTACACTACGAGTTGAGGTCGAATTTAGCAGCGTTAGATCGATTTAACCCTGCTCCCATCCACACAACAAAGCCATTTTTGTCGACTTAATGGACTCTTAAAAATCGATTTCTGTACTCCTCCCCAACGAGGGGATTAGAGCTGAAATCGACATCGCCGGGTCGAATTTGGGTTAGTGTGGACACAATTCCACGGTACTGGCCTCTGGGAGTTATCCCACAGTGCTCCATTGTGACCGCTCTGGACAGCACTCTCAACTCGGATGCACTGGCCAGGTAGACAGGAAAAGCCCCGCAAACTTTTGAATTTCATTTCCTGTTTGGCCAGCGTGGCAAGCTGATCAGGACAGGTGACCGTGCAGATCTCATCAGGAGAGAATCCCTTTTCCTGGGAGTCCCCTGTGTTTTCCCAAGGATCCTTTGGGGAACCAGGCTGGGCGGTGCACGTGAGATGCTGTGAGGATTCCCAGGAGTTTCACTCTCCGCCCTGCCCCTGTCTCCTCTGTCCCCTTTGACTAGTTTCCACCTTCAGCATCCAGCTCCATGGGACACTGTGCGGTCCCACCAGTCTGTGCTTGTTTCCCAGGCCCAGAATCGGCATTCCACGGCATGAGCATGCCCCACTGCCACCAGGATGGCCAAATTGCCCATACTTAGAGAGAAGTCTGTGTCCATGTCCTTATCTCACTCCTCACCATGCTGTTGTCACCTCCTCGCCTGCTTTTGCAGGTTCTGGTTCTGCATATACTGCATGATAATGGGCGAGGTGTTTACAATGCTCATAACTGCCGCGGTGATCTGAGCGGGCTCCATGCTTGCCGTGGTATGGCATCTGCAGGAGAGCAGGAGAGCAGAGTTGCAGGGGAAGCGGTGATTGGATGACCAGTTTTGGAGACCTACTGCACCGTCTGCTGCCAGGACACAACAGCTGAGCGGGCTGGACAATTGCCGTGTCATGGCGAGACAAGAGCAGCCGAGCAGAGTTGCAGCGGAAGCGGCCCTGTGAGATCACCAGGAGAGCAGAGTGGCAGCAGAAGTGGTGGATGATGACGGTCATATAGAGGACCTGCGAGGTGGATTCATAGCAGCGGGAGAGCAGGAGAGCAGAGTGGGAGCGGAAGCGGTGGATGATGACGATGGTTAGCAGTCCTACCGCACCGTCTGCTGAAAGCGGTATGGCGCCCGCAAGGAAAAAAGGCGCGAAACGATTGTCTGCTGTTGCTTTCACGGAGGGAGGGGCGACTGACGACATGTACCCCAAACCACCCGCGACAATGGTTTTGCCCCATCAGGCATTTGGAGCTTAACCCAGAATTCCGAGACTGCAGGAACTGTGGGATAGCTACCCACAGTGCAACGCTCCGAAAGTCGATGCTAGCCTCGGTACTGTGGACGCACTCCGCCGACTTAATGCGCTTAGTGGGGACAACGCACAATCGACTGTATAAAATCTCTTCCTAAAAATCAACTTCTATAAATTCGACCTAATTTCGTAGTGTAGACATACCCTGAGTGTCTGTTGCGGGGCCAGTTTGTCAGTTTGTCCATGTGCTTGATTGTTTGAAAAGTGTGAATTGGGAGTGCTTTGGTCCAGATGGGTCTGACTGTTATAAAAAGGCAGTCAGTTGCAAACCAGCTGAGCGGTGAACAGCGGAGTGGCTAAGAGGGAGTTTGACTGGGGAGAGCCCACTGAGGCTTTCATCTTGCAGGCTTTTCTGTGTAGTTACTGCAAAAGCTGAGGAAGCTCGTAGAAGGAAGGTAATATGGATGGTGAGTGATCAGCTGTTGTGACCTGCACAGGATGTGCCATATTTGTCTTTCTTCCACAGGAGAGAAGCAACTTTGACTGTACAAAGTGCAAGCTGGTCTTCATATTGGAAGAGAAGGTTCAAGGTCTGGAGAAACAAGTATCAACCCTGTGTTGTATAAAAGATACTGAAGATTTCCTGGACAGATGTCGGGAGATGCTTCTACGGGCACAATGTTCTGAAGAATCAGAGCAGGCTGCGCAGCGGGGACAGAAGGACGGTGAAAAAAATTGGCAGCATGTGACCTGCAGAAGAAGAAAGAGGAGAATCCATGTACCAGCTACGCAGATACAGATAAGCAACCGTTTTCATGTTCTCTCCACAGGTATTAATGCGGAGAGTGGACTAGATGATACATCTGAGGGAAGGGAACAGAAGGAGACTCCCCCGATTGGAAGGCATGAGATGCACTGTCCTAGGGATGGGGGTTCCATGACCACCTCTCGCAAGGGAGCAGAGATTAGTGGTTAGAGCTGGGGAGCCAGGTTTTGTTCCCAGCCTTGCCACAGAGTCCCTGGATGACCATAGTCAAGTCAGGTTGGAGAGGAATCGAGGCACTGGGAGACTGTGACATAGGGACAGAACTGGCTGAACTCCAGAGACTGGGGACACTCAGACCACTGTGCCCAGTGTGAAGGGGCAAAACAGGGTGGAAACACCCCCCTGGGAATCCCCCCTGTGTCCTGCACAGCCCAGAATCCAGGGAGCATAAAGGGGTTGAAAGCCACACACCCCAGCCCTGCAGCGAGTGGAGGAATCAGGCTGCACGCAACTGCCGGTGCGGGTCAGCGCAATAAGGAAGAGCAGGTCGGCCAGGAAGAGGCAGAGGCAGAGCTGCAGGTGGAGGGAGGTGCTGACGTTGCGGATGGAGCGGCAAAGGAGGAAGGTGAGGATGGCGAGGAGGAGGCACAGCATGGAGAAGGTCAGTCCCATGTAGGTGACGACGGTCAGTGGATAACTCTCCTGTAACACAGCAAAGGGAGAATCACCAGTGACCCCAGCCCAGCCCCTGGGCTCCGACTCAGCCTTTCCCCCAGCAAAGCCTCCAGTCGCTCCTGGGAGAGCTTTGCCCATGGCTAAGCGCGGAGCTCAGGCTCCAGCCCTGTGATCCGAGTCTCACGGTGAGATACCGTCACTGTGGTGGGAGCCATTAGGTCGGCGAAGCTGGAGAGATGGTCACAGCGGCAGGTGGTGTGAGTGCTGTTCGTGTGCACGGCGGTGCAGCCGTCCGGAGACCAGCTGCCGCTCTCGGCCACTACTTTCCAGTAGACGCAGAGAGCCTCTTCCTCCCGTTTTTTGTCCTGGAAACACAACAGAATCATCCTCGTCCTCACGGGACCACAGAACATCGTTTGTGTTATCACATGTCTACAGCAAACCCGAGGCCACCTACAGCTCCACGGCTCTCCCCACGCAGCCCCAGCACCCACTGGGGCCATCCCGGTGACAGCCGAGAGAGAGCGCAGATCCTGCTGCTCCAAACGCACAGACCCTGCTGTTGGAGCGAACGGGAAATAAATCCTTGCCAGCCGTTAGCACTAAATGGAACGTGGCCATTGGCCGAGGACTTCTGACTGCAGCCAGCAGGGGGCAGTGCTGTGTGCACACAAACACATATGCACCCTAACCACTGCATCACCACATCACAGTGTTTCATGCTGATTTCCTGAACTCCACTATCTGTAGAAAGCAGCTGTCCAGTTATTCCGGCTCAGGGGTGAGCTAAGCGGAGCTGTTACCCTAGAGCACTTTGCACGGCCGTGTGTCGTGGTGCGACCCCTATTCTCCTCCTCTAGTCAAACAGCCCCATCGCGTCCGGATTAAGGAGGCCTCTGCTTCTTAGGACCATCGGGAGCCAGAAAGGCAGCACGGTCCAAATGCCAGACAGGAGATTGTGCCTTGTATATGCCCCTCTAGAGGCCCAGATATGGAGTAAAGCAAGGGGATCTTCCTCCATGCACCTGTTTGTGGCGCAGGGTGAGGTTTGCGGGTCTGGAGAGGTTAATGGGTCTCCCGTCTCCGACGGCCCCGCTCACCACCCTGGAGTTGAGATGACTCTTCTCCGGCTTCCCACCAGCAGGTAGATTTCCCTCGCTGAGATGTCTCGCACTGATGATGGAGTCCAGGGTCCAGGATGGAGTCCAGGATGATGGAGTCATTAGGGAGCTGGAGACGTTATGGCGAAGAATGAGCCGGCCAGGTGCCCAGGGCTCACAGTGAGTCTGTGGCAGATCTGGAAATGGAACCCAGGATCCTGGCCACAACTCTTAAGATTTAGCCACTGGACCGTGCTACCTCCTCCCTCGGAGCCTCCAGGAACACGTCCAGCTGGAAATGTCTAGCTGCAGGATGCAGAGATGAAGATTCAGTTTTTCTCAGTGAGAGCAGGAGAGGGGCTGGCCAGGGATGAGCTTCCCCTGGTGCTGGAGCATTCGGGGCCCTGAATATGGCAGCTGAGGGTAGGGGTACACATTACCCTAGTTCCCCATATCTCCATTTGGGAGTCTAGCTAGACTAGGGCGTCCCTGCCCTTTCCATTCTCTGGGCCCATTTTATACCAGAGCCCCTCTCATGAGCTGTCTCCCCTCTGTGCCCCCAACTCCTCACTGCTTGGGGCTCAAGCTGTGGGACGGCCAGGAAGGAAGGTGTCAGCTCCATGGCCCACAGCCTGAGAACCACTGGTCAGCCAGCAAGGAGAACTCCAGGGCTGGAGACAGAGGCCAGGGCCCAGCCTGGGGATCCATGGGGAGGGAGGGAGGAACGGGGGAACCCAGACTGGGGTTCATTGCCTGGGAACTGCTCTGTGCCGTGGTTTGGGCCCTGGGTGTCGCCATCCCCAGGATGGTACCGTGTGTGGCTGCCCCGGTGACTGTATCACAGTGCACTCCCATCGTGTCCCTTTGAGCGCTCAGCGTGAAGACCTCACTGTCCCGGCTGCAGTCCTCAGTGACGAGCCGCGTCTGGATAGCTGTGGGGGGTGGGGGTGAGGAATGACAGAGCCCCTCGCTGTGAAACCCCTTCACTGGGAATCTGTCCATTCTGGGCCAGACCCTTCCCCCTCCCCCTCCACTTGGAGCTGGGGGGCTTCAGGGCTCTTCCTCACTGTGGGAGGGGGAAGTTTGGAGCCCCCCATGAGTTCCATTGATCACCCCCCCATATCCCCTCCCCCCATTCTGGCTGTGTCTCCCGGGGGAGTAGTGGGGGTGGAGGTAGGTGCCTGGCTCAGCGTGGCGGCCCCTCGTGGTGGAATGCCAAATATTACATTTCAACCCTTCTCGGGCATTGCTGTTACTGGGGGGGCTGGGTTCTATTTCCTGGTGCAGGGGAAGTGCTGTTCTCTGTCTGTACTGAACACAGGCTCACATCCACAGCGGTATACAGGCGCTAACTTCCAGTGGATTTGGGGCACAGTGTACAACCCCGTGTCTCACAGCAGCCAGCAGGTGGCGCTGAGAGCCACACGTCCCCCCTCACCCAGAGACTCTGTCGTCACGTTCTGTGTTGTCCTCTCCGGGGACCGGAGCGCAGCGGCCAGTGCGGCCAGTTCCACGCTCTGCAGCAGGACCGTCACGGCCCACCCCACCTCCTGCTTGTCTCTGACCTCCCAGAGGGAGGCGCTGTTCAGGAGGGAGTTGAAAGAGCGAGTCGCATCCTGGGGACAGGAAAGGAAAAGGCCTGGGAATGAGGAGTCTGGGGTATATATGTATTCCCAAGGGACATCGGGCATCACAGCCTCTCCCAGTTCAAGGGGCAGCAATACTCTCAGAGGGGGAGCCCTTTACAAAGGGGGTCCACTGAGGCTGACTCGGGGCCCCACTGGGACCTGAGGCCAACTGGGGCTAGAACCCTTTGTCGTTCCTTCTTCGCTCCTCTCCCCCATCCCTCCATTACAGATGCCAGGGAACAACATTGTCACAAGCCGATGGCTTCCTAGGCTGTCTCTGTGCTTCGTCCAGCAGCTGCTCAGAAATGTCTGTCAGGGCAGGATAGAGCCCAGATCCTGCTGCCTGAAAAACTCAGGTCATGACAGATGAGCTGAAGGAGGATCCCCATTAAGCGTTAGCAGTATAGCACCTCTGATCAACAACAACAGGTCTGAGCACTAGAGGGCGCATGTGGGTGGACAAACACAAACGTGCTCTCACCCCCCTGGAGGGCATGTACACACAGACACAGACAAACACCACTAGAGGGTGCACCCCCCGCCCCACAGCCGTGGAGGGCACAGGTCTTTTCTGAAGAGGATCTACATGTCTCCCCGCCCCCCAGTGAGACTCCTAACCCGGCACAGCAGCTCGCAGGGCTCTGGGGCACACTCAGGGGCAGTAGCCCGCAGAGCACATTCAAGAGACGGGGCCTCTCACCTCCAGCGATAACGTCGCACTCCCGTCTCCACACGTGGACGTCAGAATCTCTAAGGTCGAATTAAAGAAATTGCAACAACTGCTGTTCCCGCTGCTCCGCTTTACCTGCAGAGAGACCCAGGGCAGGGGGTGAGCTCTGCAGGGGCTGAAGGGCGACTGACATTGGTGTCAGTAATACCATCTGTGATCCAATTTATGCTAGTAAATGAGCAATTCCAATTCCTCGTTTGTTACCGAGGCTCCTGGCACTGGTCTATAGGCAATTCAAGAATTCCTCTTTTCATGTTCCTTGGTTCCATGATTAATTTTGTTGTCAACCTCTTGATTTTGTGCTGTGCTCATATCTTCCCTCTTTTTACCCTCCCCTTTTGCTATTAGTTTAGCCCTCTAAAGGGGCACTAACCTCTTGAGCGCCTCTGAGTGGCGGGATGTGGTACCACAGTCCTTTTCCTAGCTTTCAGTGCCCCCTGCAGACCGCTGACAGATCTTGGCTGATCTACAGTAGCTTGGCCCTCCAGCCAAGTAAGGAAGTCCAAATGAACCCCTTTCAGGGTATTAAAGAGTCCGAAAAATAACCAGTCTCTTTGCCCTTCCTAGGGTCTTTAGCCCAGTTCAGCCTTTTCAGTTGAGCCCTTTGTTTGGGCTTCCAAATAAGCCCAATCCCATTCTTGGGATTTATGCCACTTTACGTGTGGCCGGTAGGGGAACCCGGGTCTGCCCACTACTCCGGGTTCGAAAGCAGGGACCCTATGCACAGCAGCCACACACTGCTCACTTCCACTGGTTTCAGCCTGGAACTGAACTACTAAGGCCAGGAACTCCTTTTTTTCTGGGCCAGCTGGTCCCTGACTGGATGCTGCTCACCCTTCTAGCCCTTGGAGGACCAGGTCTCTGTGGTTTCCAAAATGGCTGCTCCAAAGACTCCAATCTAGGCAAGCTTGGAGGACTCACCTTTGCTGCTCTTCTCCTCTCAGACCACTGTTTCTTGGAGCTGGGGGGAAGTAGGTTGCAGGAAGACTACAGGGCCCTAGCAGGCCAAATATACCCCATCTCAAACCAACTCTAGCCAGCGTGTCACCGAGAGGAGTGGCCACCCTTCTACTGAGGTGGAGGCCATCTACACTATACAGCCCCCTCTCCCCACAGAAGGTGGACCACTGTTCTACAAAACCAAAACCCTCTATCACTTACCTAGCCAGCAGATCACTTCCATAATTTTATGGGTTCTGTCTTCCTTTACTCGTGGGACAGGAAGGATTTTTTCAAAGATGGCTCGGACATTCTTCATCTTCAGCACATTTCCAAGGGCCCAGAAGTCATCTACTATCTGTGAGATATCCCGCGGCGCAATGACAGCAATGCCGATATGAACCATCACCAATGGATCCTTATCTGTCGACTTCTGAAGGCTGTCCAATCTTAGAGCGATACCTTGTGTCTTGGTTCTGGGAGGGCAGTGCCTGGTCCTGTTTTCCTCCTATCCCTTGCAGAACATTCTTTCAATTTTTGGAGTATTGAATCTCCAGCAATGATCAGCTGTCTTCCTTGGACAGTTGGAGACCTCTGTGCAACCAAGCTTGATTTTCTTACAGGTTGGGCCACTGGCTACTCACACGTTTCTGGAATACCAGATATCCTGGCACTTCTGCGAATGGCATGAGCCCACCCCTGCCTGCATTGCCTCGCCCCTGCCAGCGTGACTTCGTCCGCATGGTGTGTGCAAGGTCACACTGCATGGGGGATGCCATTTTCGAGAGTGTCCCGCTTCTACTGGCCTGACCTTGGATGGAGCAGGTGTACAAAGTCATACTGGTGGGGCAGAGAAGTGCACTCTCCAAAATGGGGTCTCCTGTCTGCTACTGGAGAAATCACCCCCAGTTTTTACCACTACCAGATGGGAGACAAACCTGCCAAAAAGAGGACCATCTGGCGTGAAACCAGACAAGTGGCCTCCCTATGCCAAACTGCCATTCAAAAATGTCCTCTATATCTCTCCATTCTCTTAGACCTGCTGGATCTTGTGAGATATCTTACAAAGTTTCCACATTCATGACCTGGCACATCATGCATCCATCTTCTATTCAGAAAACAGTGCACACACTCATGGGCCATATAAAGTCAATTTTTGCCCAGTTAATTTCCCTTTCTCAGGTGTTTACTGGTGGCCGTTCTGTCTGGATTGTGGTGAGCAGAGGGGAGTTTTTCAAGAGGTGCCGAAGGAGGAAGTAAGGCAAATGAACAACATATTCCCAGTGGCTACAAACATTTATTTGACTTTCAGTTTGCCGGGAGCTGGTGGAGTGATGCTGGCATTGTGTATGGGGGGGTCATTAATCAGGGGGGCCATTAGATTGTCTTGCCAAAAAAGTCTGTTCTTTTAACACGACATTGGATCCAGATATTCCTCATTTGAGTGGCTGCTTGGAGACAAGTGTAAACTCCCCAATCCCTGCCTGAGTAAGAGCCGGCAGAGCTGTTCTGAGCAGATGTCGTGAAGGTCCAAGGGGGTTAGGTTCATGATCACAAGTTAACACTGTAGAAATGCAATTATTCCCTTCCATTTTTATGTTCTCATAGCCAGTAAAAATCATCGGCTTCGTCATCAGCTGCTATAAATCTGTGGAGCTCCACGAAAGCATGTGGAATTACACTAATTTATACCACCTAAATTTCTGGCCCTTCATCCTCAAGATATATAGACGTGTATGTATCCCTCCCCTCCCCCAGCACTGACCCCAGACATGCAAAGCACCCCCTGCAGGGCCCAGTGGAACACTCCACACAAACAAACAAAGACATCTGTGGGGAGCACGACCCAGGCTGGGAGCTGGTTGAAGAAGCCACTGTAGAAGAGCCACTGACGAAGGGCTGTGTTGTCACAATGCAGCGACACAGGTCTTCATCTAACCCCACATGTGGACAAACTTACTCTGTTTAGCCTAAACCCCTTCCAAGGTGACATCAGATAAACTGAATAAAGGTCACTCTGACGCTGGACTAAGAGGATCCACATGAGGGGCTCACCTAGGATAACAAAGGCAATTTAAATTCACAGTTTGGTTCTTAGCAGTATAATGTAGAAAAGGCGTAAGAGGGACAACTAGGGGCCTGATCTCCCCCTGGTGTAAAACAGCATCATTCCATTGGAGTCGATGGGGCCAGATCCCCAGCTGTGAAAATCGGCATCACTCTACTGGTGTCAATACACCCATTTACACCAGCTGAGGATCTGGCCCTATGTAATAAGCTTCCACACACTCAGTAATGGAACTGTGCCCAGAACTAGCTCTGGGACTAGGAAGAGGGAAATTAACTAGAATGAGGAAGCACCTCAGAAATGACCCTCATGTTTAAATTGAGGAAACTCTGTGCAAAGGCTGCTGGAACCAAACCATGGAGCCCCACAGGAGGCAAATCCCAGACACCCAGGCACAGTGAGGCTCCCTGCTTATCCCTGGCTGAACTTCATAACCCCCGGTCACCACAGCCCCTGCGCCGTTTGTGATCCTGGTTTTGTTTGCTCTCGTACAATCATCCATGCCCCTCACCCCACCCCCGTCCCCGTCCTTGTCTGCCCTTGTCCAGTAACTCCACCGCTCGTTCTGTGTCCTCAGTCTTATCTGCCCCTTGTACAATTGTCCCACGCCTCCTGATCGGCTCATGTCCTGGCTTGTCTCAGCTGATACAGCCACTGCTGCGTCCCCCCACCCAGGAAGGCACCGATGCACGGTACGACCTCCCATAGCCAATCCCATAGGCTCCAACCCTGTACACACTTCAGTCCCTCTCTGATGGGCTGCCTCAAGTGAATCTGCTGATTGGCATTTGGTGGTTTGGCTGTTCCCCTTTCCTGGTCCCTGCTTCTCTGTCCATCCTTAGCCTGCGAGTTTCTCAGGGCAAGGACCATCCTTTCTTGTGTCTCTGGAAAGCAACTGGCTGGAGGAAGCTGCTGCTGGTGGAAAGCACCTGGCACATTCCAGGCATTGCCACAAACATGGCACCAAAGTGTACACAGCACAGAATTAGCCAGGCGAACTCACTGCCACTGGATGTCAGTGAGACCGAGGGTGAAGGGCCTGATTATGATTTTCAAACAGGGCCCTTTGCACTGAAATAAAGGGAACTTCATGTAACTAAGAATCAGGCCCTATGTATTTTCAGCATAAAAATAACCAGTTACGTTAGACAGGATAAAAAAATAAACATAAATGCTCTACGTCTCTGCCGTTCTTCTTCAGGGCACAAACCAATCACTAGTTGCCTGGAGTCAGAAATGTCCCCACCTTTCAGAATTGTCCACCTTAAGTCTATTTGATTTGAATTAATGGCTAATCCCAAAGGGACATGGCCCCTGCAAAGTGAGCGCCACCCAGGTCGATCTCTGGCAAGATACTTAGGGTGGTATTGGTCTGATTGCATACTCCTTTTATGTCCATCACTGGCAAGCGTAAGCTTTTCACACCCACACGATTGCTGGCTCTTTAGCAGCATTTCTTGGTAGCATGCTTTGGAATTCGTTCGTCTTATAATACTTCCGGCCAGGAAAGCTGCTGATCCCAAACCAGTGCTGATGGAAGCGATTGCTGAGTTCAGCTTTTAATGTCCTCATTTCTGATCTTCTCCTGCCACTTGATATGAAACACCTGACGGAGACAATGACAACATCAGGAGAATCGACAGCACCAGTCCAGTGTCCTTCAGCCTTCCTCACCACAAACATTTCACTTCCAGATGACAGAGTCTGTAGAACTGTGGTTCTGTAGGTCCACAGCTTCATAGCAAGCCTGATGTCATGATGGTCCCACAGAGAATCCTGAATGACCTGAAACACGGCTGCTGCTGCGATATGAGCTTGGGCACCCACATCTTTGAAGCATCTACCAGGGCTGTCCAGGGGGGTTTCCAGAGAGGCTGGAGCTCGGCTGGTCTCAGTTGTGGCAGATGACAGAAAAAGAAGCAATGGTCTCAAGTTTCAGAGAGGGAGGTCTAGGCTGGATATTAGGAAACACTATTTCACCAGGAGGGTGGTGAAGCACTGGAATGGGTTCCCTAGGCAGGTGGTGGAATCTCCTTCCTGAGGGTTTTGAAGGCCCAGCTTGAAGAAGCCCTGGCTTGGATGATTTAGTTGGGGATTGGTCCTGCTTTGAGCAGGGGTTGACCTCCTGAGGTCTCTTCCAACCCTAATATTCTATGATTCTATGATGTTGCCCAAATATTTAACAGTCCAGACAGGTGAACATTGAGTCGCTTGTAATTTGGAGCTGGAGGCTGTTAGATGCTAATGCCTGGGATTTCATTTTATCTGGGTTAATAGCCGGACCAATGCATGCAGCTTCTTGCCTGACCAGCTTGCCATTGGCTGCAGTGATTCACTGAACTGGGCCAACAGGACAATGTCATTGGCGTATTCAGGATCTCAAAGCAGAATGGTGTTCAGCTCAACACTACTGACAGCTGCCTCCTCAAATGCATCCATCAGCCCAACAGTGCTGGTATAGACGTGTCCACCTAGGGGCTCCTTACACCTTCCTCTGAAGCAGTGATAGTGGTTCAAGTCAAAGAGGTCTAATACATATAATGTACCCTGGTCTTCATCAGCAGATCTCAAAATGCTTCGTAAAGGAGGTCAATGTTATTATACCCATTTTATTGATGGGGAGACCAATGCAGAGGGTTACTCTGCAACAGAGCCAGGATTGGAACCCAGATCTCCTGACCCCCAGTCCAACTCTGCTGCCACCAGACCCCACTTTCATGCTTCCAACATAACCTGCAGGGTGATTTTTTAAAACAATATACAATTGGCCTCAGAATTATTACTTGCCAAATATCTCCTGACTAGGGCCTTACCAAATTCACGGTCTGTTCTGGTCAATTTCAAGGTCAGAGGATTTTTAAAAAGTGTAAATTTCAGATATTTCAGATATTTAAATCTCAGATTTCATGGCGTGGAAACCATGGGGGCCCCGACCCAAAAAGGGGACTGTGGGGGATTGCAAGGCTATTGTACGGGCGTCGTGATATTGCCACCTTTACCTCCGCACTGCTGCTGGAGGGGGCACTGCCTGCACAGCTGGGTGGCCGGAGAGTGGCGGCTGCTGGCTGGGAGCCCAACTTCAGAGTTTATTGCCGCCAGCAGCAGTGCAGAAGTGAGGGTGACATGCTATGGGTGGGGTCATAACTTTTTGCGCGGGGGGGGGGGGAACAGGGCAGGCCTTATGGGGGGGTGATCACCCAGGATGCTGTGGTCTGGGGGGTGCCATGGTCACCCCCCCCCACACACACACAAAGCCACCCCAAGGCCTCATTAAGCCCCTTTAACCCAAGCACTCGGCCTGGAGCCAGGGAGAGGCAGGGCTCAGGGCACCCCATCTGAGGACTCACTCCCACCTCCAGAACCTCCCCTGGCTGGAGGAAGCTGGTGGTGGTGGTGGAGAAGTAAGGGTGGCAATCCTGCAACGCCTCTGCAATAGCCAGATGTCATGGTCCGTGACGTGTTTTTCATGGCCGTGAATATGGTAGGGTCCTACTCATGACCATCCTTGGGACCGTGTAATCGCTGACCTAGTGGATTTTTTGCTAATATGAGCGAGAGTATGTAGAGTTATCAGCAAAATGCTGAGCTGCTGTCTCCAAGGAGTCACTACGAGGCAACGGCCGCTCTTGGATTACAAGTGGAAGGAAGGGATTCTGGCTACTTCCCCCTGCATGGCTGGACCTCCTCCCCCACTCAAACTGCCCCTCAGCAGAGCACCTTGGCATTGGTTCCACCTGTGGGACAGGCTCTGGCTTCTTTCAGCTGGACAAGCAGTGCTTAGAGATGTTTCAGAGTAACAGTCGTGTTAGTCTGTATTCGCAAAAAGTGCTTAGAGAGTGAACACTGCCCCTAACCTCTGAACTAGCGGGTGTGGATGAGCCCCTGGCAGGGTTACAGCTGGTGTAGTGAGCTCTACTGCCCTGCAGTCACTGACACATGTTCCCACAAACCCTGAGAAGTCTACAGGAGATTATCTGATCCAGCAGACCCTGGGGTGTCCATGTTGGGGTCGAATGTCCTCTTAGTTCTTCAAGTGTTCATTTGCCCTTGTGGGATCAAGATGCCCATGCCACAAGCTTCCAGTTGGAAGAGTGAGTGTGACTCCTGTTAATGGTGAGAAACTGATATTGTTCTGGCCATGAAGCCTTCTGCTAACCCCACCTGCCATCCTGTCTAGTGTGTCCAGGAATAGTACAGGACCCCATCAGGTGAGGTGCTCGCAGAGGCTGCTCTAGGTACATGCAGTGTAGGCAGATGTCTACGGTGGCAGACTTCTGAGCAGCTGCCTACAGTGGCAAATTTAGCCTGGCTGCCCCCCAGTCATACAAGACCACAATGCCACGCACTGGAATTTGGCACTGCTGCCCTTTCCTTCACGACGTAGGAGTGACTGGCCAAATCTGCTACCCTTGGCCTCTGAGGAGGGGGATGGAACACTGAAGTTTTGCCTAGGGTGGCAGATTGTCTTGAGCAGCCTCTGGGAGAGAAGTGCTGATTTCAACATGCTCTGATAAAAGTCAATGGGAGTTGAGCAATCCCAGAGCCTGGGAGTCTAAGGACCAGAAACTGCTACCACAGGGACTCTATGAATCTGCACTGATCTGGAGAGGAAATGGTTGGGCCACGGTCCCTCACCAGGCAACTGTGAGAATGGGAAGTGTGACCAGAGGCATCCGTTCCCCCCGGAAAGGCATGATGATGGCTCCTATCAATATAAACTGCACCAACCGCAAGAAGCCGAACAGAGACATCCGCAGCCATGCAACCGGACAGCTCCTATCACAAATGGGAGGAAGAGCAGGTGGAATTGACAGTGCAGGGAGCGAGCCGCTCACCTGAGAGAGGTGGCAAAGGTGAGCTGGCCTGAGGAAGGGTGGTCTTGTGATTAAGGAGCTGCCCTGGGAGTCAGGAGGCCTGTGTCCTATTCCTGGCTTTCCGAATTTGTGGTTGGCCGGTGCCCAAAATCAGGAGAGTTTCTCTCTCTCTCCCAATTAGTGTCTTGGTTAAGTCTGGATATTCCCATCTTCCACATAAACTCCTTTCTTATCATGGGGCAAACTCATCCCTGGGTCACTCCAGTGCCTTCAGAGTTGCTATTCCAGGGACGAAACTGGTCCTGGGAGCCTGACCATATCTTCCCGCTTGAGCCCGAGAGGATTCTCATGTTCCCTTTAAGGCAAGAGCTTCTCAATCTGGGGGTCACACTCACCCTGTCCTTCCCAGATTGCCAAAAGGGAGAGGGATTCCCAACATGGAAAATGGAACACAGGGGACTTAGAAGTCCTTCAAGGTATTTACCCTGTGGTAAATCCCTCCATGCCCTTTGTCCAGTCATCTTCTCTTTAAGGGAAGCATGTTCAGTGCCTGGAGTCTCTCCCCAAAGGGAACATTAGGAGGGGTTAATCCCACATTGAGAGATCTAACCAGTGTTGCTCCCCACAGCTCTTTGCCTCTCCAACTCCGCCCAAGGGAAGGCCATTGCGATCCTGTGTGTCCTGCTGGCAATTTGCATTACAGTATCTACAGCTCTCATTTGGGTGAAGCTTGGGAAATGTAAGTCTCCTGTTCGTTTCTACCTCAGCCTCAGATCTAACCTGCCAAGAATGAGGCTGCTCTGACGAGTTTTTGGTGGATTTTAGCAGTGGGGCACAAAATTGGGCTGAGAATGGAGGCTCAGCTGTGACCTTCATTGTGGAGCAGATACCATTGCTAGGTAACTTTCCCTCACCTCTGAGTTAAGGGGACCGGATTTTCAAAGGGGTGGGATTTGTCCTTAGCATAACTCCTGCTAGCTTTCCATGGGACTTGTGCTCGCAAATCTCCGAAAAAATCTCACCCAAAATCAACAACTGGGCCATGTTTGTGGTGCTAGTTTGAAGGTTGTGAAATATTTATATCAAAATGTTCTTTTTGCAACAGCGTGAGGGAGATGAATGTCGGAGAGGGAATGTCTGGGGGTGAGAACAATGCAACAGGAGCATGGCACCGTGCGATGCCACAATTGCCTCTTCCACATTAACACAAGGAGAGCTTGGGCCCGACAAACACCTTCCTTTCCTTTTTAACTTTGCAACCAGCTAACCACACACGAGCCGAGGCAGGCTCCTTGTGGCAGCAGGCAGCTTTCTGCTCCGCACCGCAGTCAGACCCCTGCATTGCTCTCCGAAGGCTGAGCCTTTTCATTCTCAGCTTTGCTATGCCCCTTGGAGCTGTCCAACCAATCCCGTGCTTGCGTAGAGTAGTAGCAACTGCACTGTGTATCTTGGGGCCACTGGCAGCTCCATGTAACATAGAGCAGCCCCAACACAGCTCTACATTGTACCCAGGACCGAGCTGGTGTCCAGAATAATCTATCCCTGTGTTGAGCACAGTGCGCCTGTTGCGGAAGATCACAGCTAGCATGAGGTAATGGACGCCAGAAGTCTTGGGTGGTAACTGGGGGGGAAAGTGCTTTTTACAGAAACACAGGTGTCCTCAAAGATATGGTTTTCCCCTGCTGATAAATTTTACTCTGCTATCAAAAGTCTCATGTCTACAGTGTCCCAGGGTCTTGCCGAAGCCCAGCTGGATCGAGATACAATCAGAAGAGATGCCAAGAGAAATCTGTCACATCACCAGGACTATCTAGGTGAGAGGATAAAGGAAATGCTTCTATTTCTTGTAAGACTTGGTGGATCATTTTTGGTCCATACACCTCAAGGGAGCGGAGAGTCGGGCCCACGGGGTCAGTTGCACTGCTGGTGGAAGTTGATATAGGTCCTTGGACTTAGATGGAGCTGAGCAGACATATATCAGTTGGGGATCTGACCACACCTCAGACAGGACTGTAGATTATTGTGGGGAGAGGGACAACCACAGGAGGTGGAAGCAGCTCTTCGAAGCTGTTGGACATTGTCATGTTCCTAGGATCACTGATTGTCCAATGAAATTTTGTTCTGATGAGGTCACATTTCTACCAGTGTCTCATTGGCTGAGAGTATTATCCTGCTGGGGAAGTCTTGGCGTAGATGGAATGGTCTCTCCCGGAGCAGGCATGTGCCTGGGGCTCCCATAAACAGCCACTGCTTGGGTGAGTGGGGAAAGAGACCTGTGTCCTCCAGGACAGACCCCAGCTCAAATGAAGTAAGGAAGTAGTAATCTGGACAGGGGGAGAAGTGTGATGGTGGTTCTCCAATCATCCAGCGGATGGTCCCTGCCAACCCACCTAGGGCTGGGACCATTGTACAGGGGCAGGGCCAATGGGAACCACCAGGCTTGGTGTGCCTGGTGCCCCTGGATTGCCTCAATGTAGTCCTGGGTCTGACCTGTTCTTTCCAACACAGTCCCCCTGCACGGGTCATTGACTGGATCTCTCTGAATAAACGCTGTTGTTAATTTCCTAATTTTCCTCTGGGACTCTAAACATTGTAACAAACCTGCACCCACCTGGGCAGCAGGGGTGTCACTGTGCAGCACGTCATGGGCACTGAGAACATCACAGTAACAGAGGGTTAGTACTCAGACCCTGCTGCTCCCAAAGGGGGTCTGAGCCCCAGCTGAGTAGACGTTGGCTGTTGTGGCTCAGGCATGGGTTGGAACTCAGGAGATCTGGCTTCAGTTCTCAGGTTTGATGCTGACTTGCTGTGTGACCTTGAAACAGTCACTTCATTTCTCCGTGCCTCAGTTTCACTATCTGTGAAATGGGTAACATTTCCTGTCTAATTGTATTATATGCTCTCCAGCTCAGGGTAAGGGAGTGTCTCTCATTTCGTCACTGTGCAGTACCCAGAGCAACGGGGTCTCTGTGTCAGTTGGGCTCTGTACAGCACCTGGAACAAGGGGGCCTCAATCACAGCTGGGGCTTCTAAGCAATAATAATGAAATAATAATAAGTGAAACCTATTTACAACCTTACCAATTGCTGCCTGTAATGGGGGGACACTCGTCTCTTGAGTGTCTCCAGCTGCTGCATCTGGTACTGAAGGACTTTCTCCTGCTCCTGGCGCCCCCTGTAGGTTGTCACCTTCAGTGGCTCAGCCCTCTGGCCAAGTCACACAGTCAAAAATGGATGAGCACCTTCTGAAGCAGCAAAGAATTCAATAAAGTGTCACCCTCACTAAAGGCTTCCGTCCCATCTCTGGGCCCTTTGAATTCCATTCTTCTGAACAAGCCTTGTCCCCTTCCTGGGGCTTAGTCCACTTTGCTAGTGCTGGTGGGGACACCAGGCCTGCCCACTACTCTAGGTCCCAACCCAGGGACCCTATAAACAGCCACTACGTATGGCCTCCTTTAATTGGTTGCTGCTATATTCCCTGGGCCTCTTCCCACCTGGTCTTTTCACCTCTGTCTGTTAACTTAGGGCTAGAGCGCTCAGCTCCTAGGTTTGGCAAATGCAGCCTGTTGAGCTCCTTTGGCTAGAACACAGTCCTGTTCCTCACCACTCTGGCCCCAGCTAGGGACTGACCTGCAGTCAGCCCCTGCAGCTCTTTTTATCTGAGCCTGCTGGGCTCTGACTGGCTGCTTCTGTGCTGCCTTTCCAGGCAGTCCTGCAGACACACCTTCGTTGCTCCTTCCTGGGACCGGGGTGTAGTTGGACCTTAGGGCCTCCAGCAGGGGGCCATAAAGTGCCAGGTACACCCTGTCACATTGCCACTGAGGCATAATTTTCACACTGCTCTGGATGCATAGCCATGATCCGGTCCTCCCCATGGGGCAGGCATGTGGGTGGGGCAGCGTGAGGGGCTGAGTTGTTGGTGTTTAAAATTGAAACGAACCATGCTTTCATCTTCCTTTTAGAGTTGGAGATGACCAAACAATTCAGTGCATTTACCAAACAACTGGCTAACGGTATGTTCTGCTGGTGTTTCTCAAGAGATCACGGCATAACCGATGAGTATCTCCAACGCCGATGTTCAAAATCATGAGTCAGGCCCATGAGATTGGCTTAAAAATCATGAGCTTTTTAAAAATATGATAAATCTTGGGCTCGTGTTATTCATCTCCTTGTTTCTGAGAAGTTAGGGTCTTGGTCAGCTCTCATTTTTAAGGTTTTCTGTGCAAACACGAGGGCCATAGACTTACCTTTTCTAAATGAAAGCTGAGATTCTTCCCTAGTGATATGTATCTAGGAGCTGCGGCTTGAAGAAGCTGATCAAATATTGTGAGACTTGTGAAATAATCATGGGAGTTGGCAACAGTGCATGGCCCAGTGCACTGATGTGGGCATAGGTGCCAACTCCATGGGTGCTCCAGGGCTGGAGTCTCTGGTCTCAAATTTTTCTTGTTTACCAGGCATGATCTAAACCACAGTCTTTGAATTCTATCAAAAGGCCTTTTTGTCTGGACTAATTCAGTCTTTCTGTTTCCCTTTTGCACCGTTCCCCATCAAAATTTGCTGTCACTGTGACATTTGAGGAATGTTCACTCGCTTTTCACAGTTGAGCTCACAAGGAGGGTAAATTTGTAGACCCAGTTATCGCAATGGGTCTTGAGTGGTGTCTGGGAGGAAAGTGCACATTACAGCAGCACTGATGTCCCCAAAGATATGAGTTTTCCCCTGCTCATAAACTTTACTCTGCTATCAAGAGGTCTCGTGTCTACAGTGTTCCAGGGTCTTGCTGAAGACCAGCTGGATCGAGATATGGCCAGAAGAGATTCCAAGAGAAATCTGTCAGCTCTCCAGGACTATGTGGGTGAGAGGATAAAGGAAACATTTCTCTCCCTTTGATCTGGCACATCTTTTGTGGTTCTTATGCCTTAAGGGAGAGGAGAGTCAGTCCCACGGGGTCAGACTCTTGGCGGGTGGAAATCACTTCAGTGGAGCTTAACCAATGTACATTAGCTGTGGATGTGACCCACAGCTCATATAGGACCATAGGTCGTTGTGGGGAGTGGGACAATCACAGGAGGTATAAGCAGCTCTTTGGGGCTGGTCTACTTTAAAAGTTAACAATCTGCATAACTACGTCTCTAAGGGGTGTGATTTTTTACACCGCTGACAGATGTAGCTATGCTGACCTAACCCGTGCTGTAGACAGTGCAAGGTTGATGGAAGAATTCTTCCATCAACCTAGCTACTGGCTCTGGGAAAATGGATTAACATAGTCACAGGAGAACCCCTCCTGTCGTAGTGAGTGTCTACACTGAAGCACAGCTGCTGTAGCATTTTAGGTGTAGACATACTCTTGGAAGTTGTTGCACAACAACTACCCTGATCTTAGGATCACTGAATCTCCAATGAGATTTTGTTCTGGTGAGGTCATGCCTCTACTTTGAGTCTGAGAGTGTTACCCTTGGGGAAGCCATAGGCATGAGTGGAATTGGTCTGTACCAGGAGTAGGAACATCCCTGGGGCCCCATACAGACAATTACTGCTTGGGTGAGTGGGAATTGAGACCCGTCTCCTCCAGGACACTCCCCAGACCATCTGAAGAAAGGAAGCAGAAATATGGGCAGGTGGAGGCCTCAGCCTGCCCAGAAGAGTAGAATATCAGGGTTGGAAGGGACCTCAGGAGGTCATCTAGTCCAACCCCTTGCTCAAAGCAGGACCGATCCCTGACTAAATCATCCCAGCCAGGGCTTTGACAAACCTGACCTTAAAAACTTCTAGGGAAGGAGATTCCACCACCTCCCTAGGCAACACACTCCAGTGTTTCACTAGCACCCTCTTAGTGAAAAGGTTTTGCCTAATATCCAACCTAAATCTCCCCCACTGCAACTTGAGACCATTACTCCTTGTTCTGTCATCTGCTACCACTGAGAACAGTCTAGAGCCATCCTCTTTGGAACCATCTCTCAGGTAGTTGAAAGCAGCTATCAAATCCCCCCTCATTCTTCTCTTCTGAAGACTAAACATCCCCAGTTCCCTCAGCCTCTCCTCATAAGTCATGTGTTCCAGTCCCCTAATCATTTTTGTTGCCCTCCGCTGGACTCTTTCCAATTTTTCCACATCCTTCTTGTAGTGTGGGGCCCAAAACTGGACACAGTACTCCAGATGAGGCCTCACCAATGTCAAATAGAGGGGAATGATCACGTCCCTCGATCTGCTGGCAATGCCCCTACTTCTACATCCCAAAATGCCATTGGCCTTCTTGGCAACAAGGGCACACTGTTGACTCATATCCAACTTCTCGTCCACTGTCACCCCTAGGTCCTTTTCTGCAGAACTGCTGCCGAGCCATTTGGTCCCTAGTCTGTAGCGGTGCATGGGATTCTTCTGTCCTAAGTGCAGGACTCTGCACTTGTCCTTATTGAACCTCATCAGATTTCTTTTGGCCCAATCCTCCAATTTGTCTAGGTCCCTCTGTATCCTATCTCTACCCTCCAGCGTATCTACCACTCCTCCCAGTTTAGTGTCATCTGCAAACTTGCTGAGGGTGCAATCCACACCATCCTGCAGATCATTTATGAAGATATTGAATAAAACCGGCCCCAGGACCAACCCCTGGGGCACTCCACTTGATACCGGCTGCCAACTAGACATGGAGCCATTGATCACTACCCATTGAGCCCGACAATCTAGCCAGCTTTCTATCCACCTTAGAGTCCATTCATCCAGCCCATACTTCTTTAACTTGTTGGCAAGAATACTGTGGGAGACCGTGTCAAAAGCTTTGCTAAAGTGAAGGAACAACACGTCCACTGCTTTCCCTTCATCCACAGAGCCAGTTATCTCGTCATAGAAGGCAATTAGATTAGTCAGGCATGACTTGCCCTTGGTGAATCTATGCTGACTGTTCCTGATCACTTTCCTCTCTTCTAAGTGCTTCAGAATTGATTCTTTGAGGACCTGCTCCATGATTTTTCCAGGGACTGAGGTGAGGCTGACTGGCCTGTAGTTCCCAGGATCCTCCTTCTTCCCTTTTTTAAAGATGGGCACTACATTAGCCCTTTTCCAGTCATCTGGGACCTCCCCCGATCGCCATGAGTTTTCAAAGATAATGGCCAATGGCTCTGCAATCACATCCGCCAACTCCTTTAGCACCCTCGGATGCAACGCAGAGTGTGGTAGTGTGTCCTCAAAAACCCAGCAAATAGCCCTGCAAACCCACCTACGATTAGGATCATTGCACAGGGGCAGGGCCAATGGGAACCCTCATGCTGGGGTGTGCCTGATGCCCCTGGATTGCCTTAATGCAGTCCTGAGTCTGATCTGTTTTCGCCACCACAGTTCCCCTGTGTGGGTCATTGACTGGATCTCTCTTAATAAACACTGGTCTTAATTTGCTAATTTTCCCCGGGACTCTAAATGCTGTAATGAGCCTGCATCCACCTGGACTGCAGGGATGTCACTGTGCAGCACGTCATGAGCACTGAGAACATCACAGTAACAGTGGGTTAGTACTCAGACCCTGCTGCTCCCAAAGGGGGTCTGAGCTCCAGCTGAGTAGAGGTTGGCTGCTGTTCTGGCTCAGGCATGGGCTGGAATTCACAAGATCTGGCTTCAGTTCCCAGTTTTGCCGCTGACGCCCTGTGTGACCTTGAAACAGTCACTTCATTTCTCTGTGCCTCAGTTTCACTCTCTGTGAAATGGATAACATTTCTTATCTATTTGCAACTGTCTCTCGCTCTGTGTCTATGCAGTGCCCAGAGCAATGGTACCCAATATCAGTTCATGTTTGTGCAGCACCTGGCACAAAGGGGCCCTAATCTCAGTTGGGGCCTCTAGGCAGCACTGTAATATAAATCATTAATAGCTATAAGTGAAACCCATTTACATCCTTGCCAACGACTGCCCTTGCTGCATAAATTTCACACACTCCTGGATGAATGGTCCTTATCCAGCGTTCCTCAGGGGTGGAGCGTGTGGGTGGGGCAGCATGAGGTCCTGTGTTGTTATTTAAAAAGGAAACTCCCCATTCTCTCATCTTCCTTTTAGAGTTGAAGATGTCCAAAGAATTCAGCGTGTTTAACAGTGGACTTCTTAATGGTATGTTCTGCGGATGCCTCTCGCGAGGTTGGGCATAAACAGCTCCCTTGTGCTGCCAACCCCAGCATTCAAAAATCTTGAGTCAAGCCCATGAGACTGGCTTAAAACTCACGAGATTTTAAAAAATACAATAAATGTTGGGCTTGATTTATTGTGTTCTGGTTTCTGAGCCTCTAGGGTCATGCTTGGGTCACGTTATTAAGCTGTTCTCCGCTACCGTGAGGGGTAGAAATTAATTTTTTTAAATGAAAGCTGAGACTCTCTCCTAACTGCATAAATCGAGGACTGGGGGCTTGAAGAAACATATCAAATGTCAGAAGACGTGCAATAAAATCGTGGGGGCTCCACATGGGTGGAGTCTCTTCCTTCGACGCACCAATGTACAAAAGTTCTTTTCTGCCCCTTGTTGTTTGCAGTGTCCAAGGAGCTGGCTGGGGTCAGGCTGGCAATAGAGGAGGTCCAAGCTGATTATGCGAAAGACCCATTACATCTCCAGGACGCCATAGGTGAGAAACATCCTTTTCCTTCCAACGCCTGATCACTGCTACTTCCTTGTAGAGGGACTCCTGCGTCTGCTCTTCCCGTGTGGAGGGCAAGCTGAAATGGAAGGAGAGAAGGAGGATCAGAAAGGGGAAGTGTGAGGATGGAGCAGGGAGCCCTACATGGATAATCCCATTTTAGTTTGGGATCAGCTGCATCCTGTTCCCTTGGGCTTTCCCGGGTTTTATCCTGAGCCCAGTTCATGCTGCAGCAGAAGTTTGGATCTCAGACCCTGATCCAGCAAAGGCACTATGCACGTGTAACCCACGGGTGAGCCCGCGTGACAGGTCCCGCTCTGGGCTGATTTGGGGAGATGGATGGGTAGCTTTATCTCTGGAGGGCCCCAGCTCAATCCCCAAATTGTTACCCATGATAGCAGCTGTCAAACAACTCTACACTCCTGATTACTGTGAGGGATGATACATGCTCAGAGCAATGGTTTTCGACCTGTGGTCCACCGACGCATGGGGGTCCACAGACTATATCTAAGATTTCCAAAGGGGTCCTCACCACCGTTCTAAGGCTCAGGGGTCCGCAAATGAAAAAAGGTTGAAAATCACTGGCTTTATGTTTAAGTGCTTTGCTGCATTGTGGTCTCAGTACCCTGTAGATATGTGGAAGTGCAGGGCTGGCAGGGACTTGGAGGGGGCGGAGGGGGCCTCTGGTTCACTCAGTGCTGCTGAGAGCTCAAAGCTCCTATGGCCTGCAGGAGAAATTCGGGAATGCTCAGCCCTTCTGGTATCAGGCCCATCCCATGCAAACATGAGCCGGATTCTGATCTTGGTAAGATGGGGTCACTGCCGTGACTATAGATTTAGACCTCCATAGAAGAGCCCCGTGATTCTGAGGGGGAGTGTGGGCTACCTGATTGCCAGCTAAATATTCCCTCACTGAATCCAACAGGTTTCAGAGTAACAGCCGTGTTAGTCTGTATTCGCAAAAAGAAAAGGAGTACTTGTAGCACCTTAGAGACTGCTTGAAGGAAAATCAATGAGCCCAGGATAGCAGAGGTGCTTAGCTAATACAATGGTGGCCTCTAGTGTCGGAGTGTAGCTAGGTCGAAGGCTGTGAATGGGGACAGATAATGTGTTTGCAGATGGATGGACACATAGATAGAAATTTCCAGCTGCTGTGCAGGAAGGTCTGAGCCAGCCCAGAAATATCAACCTGTTGATTCCGGTGGCATTTTTCTACCCCCTGCCTGTTCCGACAGAGATAAGGAACCTAACGCACAGTTTGTCGAAGGAGCTGGCTGAGGCAAGAAGGGACCATGACAGACTCCAGGAGGTCTTGAGCAGGGTGCAGGAGGAGTTACGGAACATCACGGGTAAGGGGGCACCAGACAGGGCTTGAAACCAGTGACAGCGTTAACCGCAAATGCCCAGAGTCAGTGAAAGTCAACAGGGAACAGCGGATTCGACTTTCATGTTCCCAAAAGGCCTATGGCCTGCGCAGCTCCCTGTTCACTGAAACCGACCACATCTCCCCAGTTGGGAGTCCCCAGAGGCTGTAGAGGCAGCACAGATGTCTCCCATGCCACCCTCCTGCCTGGCCCTGATTCTCTCATTGGTTCTACGCCTTGGGCACCAGAGTTGGTGTAGAACCGGCCAGAGACTCAGGGAGCCATAACCCATTCCCTGATACCAGCCCTCCACCCAGTGGAAACAGACACAGCTGATAATCTTGCCCCTAGTTGGCTAAATACATAATGGAGCCTAACATGGGATGGATACAATACTGTATGGCAGAAGCCACCAGATGGTGCTGTTGTACATCAGCTTGCAAGTTCTCTTTCCAAACATGTCAGCAGTATTCAGTCTTCGAAGACATGCTATGTTGTTGTTTGCAGGCTGTGATATTTTGTGGGGGGAGCTGTTGCAACTAGCAAGGGAGTTTGCTCCCTGCCTGCCACTCTCTAACTAGGGTCAATTCTTGGGGCAGAGTTGTATCTAGGAAACTGGACATCAGTGTCTGGGCAGAGATCACAGATTAGCCTTCATTTTGTTTATGGGCACCTCTTTCCCAGGACTTGTGCACAGAGCAAAAATCAACAAGTTAAACTAGGAAAATATTAACTCACTGATTCATTTTTCATTGGGAAACCAACGTACCACGCCCTGCCACCTGCTACCACATGTCAGAGCGGTGACAAGGCCTGTAACTTTTAAAACCACTCCACAGAGGATGAATGTCGAAGTATGAATATTTGCAACAAACTATATGGCAAGCTTTTCAAGAGCGGGCGGGGAAATTTCATGGTGAAATTCATGAATAAGTCTAAGTACTGAATAAATTCAAGAATCTCTTTAACTGCTTGTAAGCAGCTGGTGGAAGGAAAAAGAATCCAATTTCAGGGAATACGCAAATTCAGTGCAAATTATTTTCTGGAACCCAGTGAGAATGTCAGAAGTAAATAAAAAGTATGGGGACACAGCTGAGTTTTTACACTGCTGTTGGACTGCATTTTGACTCTCTAATGCAGGCTTGTCCCATCATTTGACTTCTCGCAGAATTCATCTGCACAACATGTCCACCTGGCTGGCAGCATTTTGAGAAAAATTGCTACTTCTTTTCAACATTGGCTAAATCCTGGTTGGATGCTAAGCAGTTCTGTACCAATGAAGGGTCTCATCTGGTTATTGTTAACACCAAACAGGAACAGGTAAGCCATCCACTCAGATTCCTATTTTGGATCATGCAGAATGGAGGGAATTAAGCACAAGGAGCCAGACTCTGTGCTGTTACCCCAGGGTGAATCTGGAGTTACTCTTGATTGACCCCAGCATAACTGAGATCAGAGTCTGGTCCAAGTTCTCCAGGAATTTAGCGGAATTCCTCTTTAGGAATCTTTGGATGTAGCTTGCTGTTCAAGACGGATTGAGGGAACCTGGATACTTAGAGTCATTTGAAAAATGTCGAGTGAGCTTTGTGAACAGAAATCTCAGTGTCAGATGTGGATGAATCAAAATTCGTGTGTGTGGGGTGGGGGGCAGTTCTAATCCCCTGTGAATCCAAATCACAGAGTCCCATGGGGACCTAAAAATAACATTTGATCACTACCGACCTGGGCAGAATTTCAGCTGCTGACCCAGAGGTAAAATGCTTTAAGGAATTAAGCACAAGGAACCAGACTCTGTGCTGTTACCCCAGGGTGAATCTGGAGTTACTCTTGATTGACCCCCAGCATAACTGAGATCAGAGTCTGGTCCAAGTTCTCCAGGAATTTAGAGGAATTCCTCTTTAGGAATCTTTGGATGTAGCTTGCTGTCAAGAGGGATTGAGGGAACCTGGATACTTAGAGTCATTTGAAAAATGTCGAGTGAGCTTTGTGAACAGAAATCTCAGTGTCAGATGTGGATGAATCAAAATTCGTGTGTGTGGGGTGGGGGGCAGTTCTAATCCCCTGTGAATCCAAATCACAGAGTCCCATGGGGACCTAAAAATAACATTTGATCACTACCGACCTGGGCAGAATTTCAGCTGCTGACCCAGAGGTAAAATGCTTTAAGGAATTAAGCACAAGGAACCAGACTCTGTGCTGTTACCCCAGGGTGAATCTGGAGTTACTCTTGATTGACCCCCAGCATAACTGAGATCAGAGTCTGGTCCAAGTTCTCCAGGAATTTAGAGGAATTCCTCTTTAGGAATCTTTGGATATAGCTTGCTGTCAAGAGGGATTGAGGGAACCTGGATACTTAGAGTCATTTGAAAAATGTCGAGTGAGCTTTGTGAACAGAAATCTCAGTGTCAGATGTGGATGAATCAAAATTCATGTTTGTGGGGTGGGGGGCAGTTCTAATCCCCTGTGAATCCAAATCACAGAGTCCCATGGGGACCTAAAAATAACATTTGATCACTACCGACCTGCACAGAATTTCAGCTGCTGACCCAGAGGTAAAATGCTTTTCACAGCTGCTCACTACCACACTAGGGAAGGCCTTTTGATATCCGGGGGAAGACCCCACTCCAGATTCCTCATCAGGACTTTGCAGAAGGAATCCTGCCCTGAGGGAGAATCCACCTTAAGGTTTACATTGAGACCAGTGCCTGCTGGGAACAGGACCTTGAGAGACTAGTTGGTGCTGGGAGGATGCACATGTAGTGCAGAGGTGGTCAAGGTGCTGGTGTGAATCTGGAGTCACCAGAACCAAAATCTGACTCCCGAGCAGTACAGTTCATAGTGTGTGTATTTCGCTGTCTCATCTTCAGGCATGGACTTAAGGCTCCCCCAGTAACCAGGGTGCAGAATGGGACTTAACAGGGACGGTAAGATGATTCCTTGGTACCCCTGCATGGAGGAGACCTAAGACCATGGAATTCACAGGCCCCAAAGGCAGACCCTCAGCAGCTGTAGAAGGATTGAAAATGACCTGCAGTTGTCAGGGTACAGCAGTGTAATATTCAGCCTTATTATCACTGATCTGTATTGTGGTAGCACCTAGAAGTACCAATCAGAGCCCTGTTGTGCTAGGTGCTGTACGCATGTCACAAAAAGACAGCCCTGTCCCAAACAGGCCACTGTTCACCTCCCATTCTGCAGGGGAGATTTGCAGGGCAAAGGGCAGGGATGAGGCATTTGAAGTACAGCGGGTCAGAAAATGAGCTTTTTTTTCCCTGTGGAAAATTTCATTTTGGGGGGGCAAATATTTATATACCGCAAATTTTCGACGGAAAACGGAAACATTTCACTTTGGACATGCTGCTGCAGTGCCTCATGGGAGCTGTAGTTTCGATGCCTCAGACCCCCATTCTTTAGCGGTCAGGCTACCCAGCCCGTCTACAACTCCCATGATGCACAACGGTCACTCCTCTTGGAGAGGGGAAGCGATGCATCCATGGGAAATGCCTGGTGCATCCTGAGAAATCCAGGGTGGCCAGCCCTAATGTAAAGAGTTGGAAAAACGGAGAGGGGTGAGAATCTACAGCTACAGACTCTGCTGGCCACAAACACAGGCCCCATGGAACCCCCTCCCCTCCCCTCTCACCTTCTGCTTGGGATCATGATTGTCTTCTTCCCGTTTTCCCACACAGATATTTTTGTCAAACCACATCGTTGAGCCCGAAGTGTACTGGCTGGGCCTCAGCGACTCAGCGAAGGAAGGGGAGTGGCGCTGGCTGGATGGCAGCCTCTTGTCTATCAGGCAAGTCCCTCTTTGTTCAGCCTCTTTGGAGCGAGAACTGTCCCTGACAATCAGCTGTTTCTGCATTATCTCCTCTCTCCCTAAAGAGCCAGACGGAGCACTGATACCAATGCAATTGATATTCGGGGGGTCTCTGGTCCCCTTTAGTGGCTCAACCAGGGAAAGAAGGTTATGAGTCTGCTTTCTGTTTCTGCGGAGCAGAAAGCTGCTTTACCATGGGGCATTCCGAATGTCATGCTAAGGAAAGGTGCTGGGGAGAACAGCAACATGGCCCAGTGGACAGGGCAGTGGACATGTAGGCAGCGCTTCTGGGTTCTAGTCCCAGCCCCAGCAGTGTGTTCTGCTGGCAGACTGTGAGGCACATCGCTTCCTGCTCTTTGCCTCAGTTTCCTCACCCGTAAAATGCACCGGACACTGATGTCCTCCAAGCTGAGAACAGCTATGGCTTGAGGAGTGGCTGGGACAGCTTCCCACTATTCAGTGGCTAGCACCAACCTGCCATGGCTCTGACCTCCAGGCACCACCTCAAGGAGTGAGTAGGCAGATCAGTCCATGCCCACCTTGACTCTCTGTGCTAAAACTATCAGACCAGTCAGTGCCCACTGGCGTCGGTGACGGGGAGACCTGTCCCCTAGGAACTGGCTCATTTCACACCACCCACATGGAGGAGGTTTTCAAATCAGAGACCTCTAATTCCATGGGGCTTCTGTTTCCTTCTCAGGTTCTGGGGGGCCGGGGAACCCAACAATGTTGGGCAGTATGGGGAGGACTGTGGCAGCATACGCTTCGATGGGAAGTGGAACGATGCCAGATGCTCTGCGACTGAGAGCTGGATCTGTGAACAGCAGTGCTAGCTGAGTCCCTGAATCCACAGCAGGGAGGGGAGGTGTCACAAAGCCTGCCCCATGTGGGACTGCTCCGGACCTATTCTCTCTAAATCAGTGATTCTCAGACTTCCACTCGTGAGCTGCAAGAGGGTCTTTCATGGGTCTCCTACAGCTCTTTGCAGCACATGCTATTAAAACACTGTGATTTAATTATTAATCGATCTGTGTTATTAACCAATCTGGATTCTTTTACTATGTTATTAACTCATTCAGTTATCAACTTGCACTAAGCTACTAACTTATTTGCTGTGAGAATAATATATGGAGAGATGTAAAACTAAATATTTCCCATCGTACTGTTTAAATATGAATAGTAATATAGTAAATGAAACAATGAATCCACCCTCCTGTGGCTCCTTTGCATAATGGCGATGGCTAATTTTGCTCCTGAGCCGCTGAGGTCTGAATATCACTGCTCAAAATGCTGGGCAGGTATTACAGCGAGTGGAGCTATGGGACAGGATCGTGGAAAGCAGAGGTGGAGAAGCTGACTGGCATTGGACCATCTGATCCATTTCCCTCCCACACTGGGGCCCAGGACCGGCTTGTTCCCCTCACGGCTCTAGCATGAAATGTGGCTCCTGCCCTTCCCACAAGAGGAAGCAATTCTCCAGCCTGGTAGATCTCATGGCCAGGCTGTTCTCCCTGACACCGGGCCAGAGTCTGATCTCGGGTGCACTGCTGTAAATGCACAGGTTGTACCGGCTTCAAGGGAGTCACCCTGAACGGACATCGATGTGAGTGAGATCGGAATCGGGGCCGTTCACCCTCAAACGTCCTTTTCTTAAATTCATCTCATTGCTCCTGACTCTGCCCCCGGGTGTCTCCACTGAGAGGAAGGATGATCTGATGCGTAAGGCACAGGACTGGGACCTGGGTTCAGTTCCAGCTCTGCCACTGACTCCTTCACCTGTCTGGGGGCTTCAGTTTCCTTCTCTTTAAAATGGAGATAACAACCCTTCCTGTTTCAGAGGAACAGCCGTGTTAGTCTGTATTCGCAAAAAGAAAAGGAGGACTTGTGGCACCTTAGAGACTAACCAATTTATTTGAGCATGAGCTTTCGTGAGCTACAGCTCACTTCATCAGATGTACCTTCCTGTGTCTGTCTTGTCTATTGAGCCTGTGAGCTCTGTGGGGCAGGGAGTGTCTCATTGTGTGTCAGGGGCACAATGGGGCTGTGAGCTCAGCTGCGGCCTCTAGCTGCTCCTATAAGTGCTCCCAGATCACCTATCTGCTTCTTCTGGGGGCTGTTCTGCCATTAGACGCACACACTCGGTTCCCATTGAAGGCAGTGGAGTTGCTTGTGTGTCTCCGAGGGCAGAGTTTGGTTCTTTGTTTTACACCCTTGAGATGTTTGTAGCTGGCATCTGGGGCTGAGGTCCCTGCTCCGTTGGCACAGCACGGCCGACTGCGGGATAAACATATTAATTCAACAACTGCTTGTTGGAGAGGTGATTTTCTAACTGGTGCCGGGACGCAGCCCAATCTGCTGTAAATCGGATTCAGCATCACTGCTTTAGAGTCCACAGGGCCAAATCCATAGCTGGTGTAAAATAACTGGCATTAAGAGGCCGCATCTCCAGCTGATGTAAATCAGCATTGCTCCTTGGAGTCAGTCAGCCATATCTCCAGCTGGTGCGTATTTACATAGTTCCATTGACTTCAAATAGCACTATGCCGATTTACAACCGCTGAAGATGTGGCCCACAAAAGTGGTCCTCTCTCTCTCTCTCACGCTCTCATTTTGCGTTCACCTCTTTGCATTACTTGCCCTTTATGCTCCTTCAGCAGCAGATTCAGTTTTATGCTCTTTGACATCTGAGGGGAGTTTCTGTTCTGGGCGTTTTCTTTTTTAAAAAACAGAGAGATTGTTACAAACATTTTGCCTGCGCATGCAAATTCACAGATCCCCTCTACTGGAGCATGGCAGCCTGTGTGGGTTTCTCTTTTAGTGGACGGTACATGAGTGGGTTTACCACATTTACCAGGGGCATATGGGTGAAAGTGTGAGACACCGTGTGAATCAGTGTGCGAATGTATGTGCATGCACACGTGAGTGTGTATGTGTGTCTGGTATGTTTGTATGTTGACACCAGCTGATCTGGCCGATTGAATTTAATGGACTTATTCGTGATTTACACCCGTATGTACAAGATCAGAATGAAGCCCCTTTTGTGTGTTATTCCTGCATGTCATGTTAAGGCGAGGAGCAGCAGAACGTTGGATTTCTGATAGTGCTAAGTAAAGATCTCCGGAGTAGATTCTGATCTTAGTTACACTGGTGTAAATCCAGAGTCACACCTTGGACCTCAGTGGAGTGACACCAGATTTACACCCGGGTAAGAGTGCAGAGCCTGGCCCTTTGGCTGAACTCTTCAGCGTATGTATGTTGTAGAGTTTAGGCCATGAGCCCCTGGGAGGAAGGATGGTGAAGATGGGAAAACATCTTTGCTCCATCCAGCATGAACATGTAATATGATTCAGCAAGTCAAGAGTTAAAGGATTACTTTAGGACCTCTATCTATAGCAGGTGAAAAGTCATTGCAAGCAACCCTTGTTTGGATGCCCTGGTCTCATGACGCCTGCAAGGCATCCCCAGGTGCTTCCAAGGTTTGGGTTACCTAGCTGCCTGGAAAACGGTCATTAGCTCAGGTTTGTCTGGATTGGGACTGGTTTCTTCCCACAAGAATTGCAGCTGCCCTGTCCTCCACCCCCACTTGTGACCTCCATCCCACAATTCAGTGCTTTGTGTTAAGAAATTCCCACAAGCCCCTTCTCCCAGGAACTACCAGACAGGTGAATCCCAGAATGCACTGAAACAACCATGGCTGCAAGGGGTGGATGGGCCTGGTGAGAAATACACACACATACACATACTGTAATGATCATAATAGGACCCTCACATCCGAGCTCACAGCTAGTATGGGGAGCCTCCTTCTTACCCTAACCCATGACGCCTTCCTGTGTGGGCAGGACAGGACCAGTTATAGGTGATGAGGATCACTGGGACTTAACAAATGTGATACATTATTAGCAGGTGCAGATACATCCTCTTCTAGCCCCTTCCTCACAGCACTGTGGTTTGCTGCATCAATGACCATCTTATTTATAAAACAAATAAATAGATGCTTAAAAATAAAAGTGTTGCCAGCCTATAACCTCCAGCCCTACAGCTGCTACTGGGCTACACGCTGCTCCGGCGATCTGACGGGATCGGTATCTCACAATGCACTACGGGTGAAACAGACCTCGCTGCAGAAGGCTAGCCCAAGGCTTAGGGCTTAAGGAGGATGTACATGGTGTCTCGGCGGGGGGAATGCTGTGTATGGATGCTTACTTTCCAACAGCCCAGCTCATAGCATAGGCACGCTTATTTGTGGCAGGGGCCTGCATTGGCACTGATCCCTGCTACAGGACTGAGGTATCGATTGAGTTGTAGGATAAAAATCTAGCCATTTATGCAAAGCCAGGGAAGGACTGTGTGTTTTCTCCACGAACCACCCACAGCCAGGGCGTGGGGACATTGGTGCAGCTAGGACACACAGGTCTTCCTATGGACTCTAGGAGAAGCTGCAGTGGGGCTGGCTGCTGGTAGAGACAGGATATTGGCCTAAATGAACCACAGGTCCAATCCAGTATGGTGACTCCTATACTCTACAGTGTGGCTCTCAACCTTTCCAAACTACTGCACCCCTTCCAGGAGTTTGATCTGTCTTGCACCCCAACAAGTATCACCTCACTTAAAAACCACTTGCTTACAAAATCAGGCATAAAAAGACAAGTGTCCCAGCACACTATTACTGAAAAATGGCTGACTTTCTCATTTTCACCATATCATTATAAAATTAAATCAATTGGAATATAAATATGGTACTTACAGGTCAGTGGATGGTATATAGAGCAGTGTAAACAAGTCATTGACTGTATGAAATTTTAGTTTGTACTGACTTGGCTGGTGCTTTTAATGTATCCTGTTGTAAAACTAGGCAAATATCTAGATGAGCTGATGTACCCCTTGGAAGACCTGTGCGTACCACCAGGGATATGCATACCCCGACTGAGAACCACTGCTCTTCAAAGTGTGGGCAGTAGACCCATGCAGTTCACAGACCAGGTGGCCACCTCACCACCACTCAACCAGCCATCCCACGACTATGCACCCAGCGGAGGGGTTGTGGCATAGCTACCCTCCATGGCACGCAGCATGGTCTCCCCGCTTTCCTGGCTTCTGTGCACAACTGCTGCATTTCAGGCTATTTGCATAATCTTATTCATCCCACCCCAGCAGAGAGAGGAACTGAAAGTAAGGAAATAATACAACTGCTCTGAGCGAGGCACTGAGAGCAAGGGAGTGCCTCAAGCAGAACAGGGTCTGGGGTTGGGGTGGGGTCTGTTGCTTCAGCAGCAGCCCACCTAAGCCCCTGGTCCCCAGCAATAAGGAATGGCCCAGCAGGAGCTCTATGGGAACTGGCTGTGTCCTCCACCGTCACCAGGGAAGAGACTGGTGAGACAAACAGGTAAAGACAAAGTGGTTGGAAACAGGGCACCATCTGTATCCAGACTTAGAAGGGGCAGATGCGTGTTGTGTTGGGATTGTGTGAAGTGTGCAGCCATGTGCATTGTGGGGTATGTGCAAGGAACACGTACCTACATAGAATCATAGAATATCAGGGTTGGAAGGGATCTCTGGAGGCCATCTAGTTCAACCCCCTGCCCAGAGCAGGACCAATCCCAACTAAATCATCCCAGAAGTATGTGCTTTGTGTGTGTGTGTGTGCAGGGCTGTATGGGTACACACGTGCTGTTGTGTGTCTGTGTGTGTACATGGGTGTGTAGTACATCCATCTTTCCGTGTGCAGGGTTGGGTGTTCTGTGTGTGTAGGCAGGGGTGTGTGCCATTTGTATGGGAGGGGGATTGTATGTGTGTAAGTATGTGCAGATGTACATGCTGTATAGTGTGTGGTCATTTTGTGTGTGTAGCATAAAAGAATGCAGATATGTGTGCTCTTCGTGGTGTATGTCTGTTCAGAAGGGAGTGGGGTAAGATGGAATAAGGTCAGTCAACCATAAACACAATACATCTCCCACTCAAATCTAGTGGTAGCTGGGGAACCGCACTGCGGTTCTCACTTGTATCAGTTTAGATCTTTGTGGAAGAAAATTACTTGGAAAATAACTGAAGAACCATAACTGACTGTGGGCTGAATTCTGCTCCCACTCAAATGCAGGCAATGGGCTGATGGTGTTAGGAGGCCTAGTTCCTCTGGAGCTAGTAAAATTGCAACTGCTTGCACCCGGGTGGAATTTAGGGGGGCTGGATGTGGCCAGATCCCAAGCTGGTATAAATTGTCATCACTCCATTGACTTCAGCACAATGATGCTGATTTACACCAACTGGGGATCTGGACCTTTGTCACTAAGGGCATGTCTACATCAGGGGATATTTTAATTTGAGGTTTACAAGCGTTTGGGAAGAATGCAAAACATCAACCATTACAAAGTTAACTTCTTCCAGTGAACTGGCTAGTAATTAACTTCAGGTCATAAACTCTTGTGTAGACAAGACCTGACGGTAGAAATAATATTAAAATGTCACCATGGTCATATAAGTCATGTCCAAGACTCTAGGACAGATCTCAGAGGCCGTTCAAACCCATACAGATCCTGGCTGTGCTGTAAGATTGAACTGTGTTTTAACAGTTTCTGGGAAAAGCATAACTGTAACCCCTGACCAGGCTGGATTCGTAGCAGGGATGGGATGTAGGAGGCTCAAGGGAGAGAAAATCTCCCCAACCACGTCAGGACATACGACCTCCATGCCCAAGGAAAAATGCTTCTGAAGAGAAAATTTGTTTCCCTTTTGGAATACGCCAAGTATCAGGTATTTTCTAGGGCTGTCAAGCGATTAAAAAAATTAATCGCGATTAATCACCCAATTAAAAAAATTAATCAAGATTAATTGCACAACTGATCGCACTGCAAAACAATAATAGAATACTATTTAAATATTTGTGGGTGTTTTCTATTTTCAAATATATTTGATTTCAATTACAACAAAGAATACAAAGTATAGAGTGCTCACTTTATTTTTATTACAAATATTTGCACGGTAAGAAACAAAAGAAATAGTATTTTTCAATTCACCTCATACAAGTACTGTAGTGCATTCTCTTTATCATGAAAGTTGAACTTACACATGTAGAATTATGTACAAAGAAAACCTGCATTCAAAAATAAAACAATGTAAAACTTTAAAGCCTACAAGTCCACTCAGTCCTACGTCAGCCAATCGCTCAGACAAACAAGTTGGGTTATAATTTGCAGGAGATAATGCTACCCGCTTTTGTTTCAATGTCACCCAAAAGTGAAAACAGGTATTCTCATGGCACTGTTGTAGCTGGCGTTGCA